TCAGAAGAGATGCCATGTAGATTTGCTTATTTTTTGGGTTGACAGCAAGAGAATCCTGCAGAAAGAAATTACCAGAGAAGAAAATCGCAGCAACTTTAAAATGCATGGAACAGAAAAAGCTGTAAGCCAGCAAGAGCAGCACTTTTCAGCAATACAGAGACAAACAGGGAAATAAGTTTTTTTTCAGGATCAAAAAAACTCTCAAGCTGAGCTAGTCTGGGTAAGTGAGTAAAGGATCATCAGAGCTGAGAAAGAATTTGACTTGCAGAATTTAATTATGATGTGATACAGGAAGACTTCCTCTTGGTTCTTAAGACTGGATGATGTCTTTGTGACGTATTTTTATTAGGTAAATGGGCACATACATTCTGAGAACTTTTCTGAGTATTCCTGGCTCATTTATGTGCTGGGAGAGCACCACAGTAGTTCTGCAACTCTGTCTATTTTTGGAACATGCTGGAGCATGTTACAGCTTTGTTGTGGTCCATGCACACATTTCTTTGCTGTGTAAACCAAGATGCAGGGATGAGAGAACAGGATGCTCATGAACAGACATGAAGAAGGAAACCAGCATGGACTTCCGAACCTACTGCTGCAGAGGTGTCCACCCAAAGGACATTAAAGCCTAAAGAGTTTCTTTACAGAGTCACTTTCCAGAGCAGATCTACTGCCTGATGTTTCACATTTCAGTAAGTCTTTCTGCCTTTCTTCCACACAAGCTTGAAAGCAGAGGGATACTGTGTGTTGTAAGTAGGTGCTAAGTAAGTAGTTAAACTAGGCAATAACTTTTGAATTTTCATTTCAGATGGTGATGTAACAGTAAATTTTGAAACTTCAAATGGACACACCATAGCCATTGGTGAAGAAACCATACAGGAAGAAAGTATAGTAAAAGCCAGTGGAAATAATGGCACTTTATCAGAGAAAGCATCAGTATCAGAAGGAAAAAATGAAGATCAGAAAGGTAAATTAGCATATTCACAGATTGTTTTTTGCCTGCTTTAGATATTAACGTATTCTTCCACTAGCACCTATACATGCTGTGAGTTCTCTTCTGCCACAAGGATGCCAACAGAACCTGCTGAGAAGATAAGACTTGTGAAACACCAGTATTCTGTCACTGGTAGGCATGCCTTTTCCTGTGCATTATGGTAAGGCCATAAAGAGAAGCATGTTCTGAACACAGCAATGTGTGCAGGGAGGTTCAGTTTCTAAATTCACTGCGAGCCTTTCCTTGTAGCCATGACCAAGCTTTGGTGTCAGGTTTTCCTCTTATGAAAGAACACACTGAGTACATATGCATCACCTTGCAGTATCATTGTGGAAGTGTCTCCTGGGTTGAATGTTCAAAAGTGTTTAAATCACTTGAAAACCGTCTGTCATTTTGAAAGTAACTTCAGCAACTCATTCCAGTTGGTTTTCATGGAATCTTAAACACTTGCAGTCCAGCTCTTCATAAACATTCAAGGGGCTTTGTCACTACTGCAAGCAGAAACTAGGGCATTTATGGAAAATGCACTTTATAACTATAGGGTTTTCTGCAGATGAATTGGTAAATACTGGTCAATATTTAGCAGTCCCAGGGTCCATCTTAATTTTGCTACCTTTACTCAGATCTATCTGAGTCTGACTCATAAAGGAAATGTAAAGATTAGTGTGGAATCACAGGATTTTAACCAATTTTATTTTCTTTCTCTACCATCTTGAATAATGCACCACATCTTTTTCCTGTCTAAAAGTGTTCTTAAATACTATTTAATTTACTGGATTTTCCTAGCAGAAAGAGCAAAGATACAAAAGATCAAGACCTTCATGGCTGGCTGAAGCCATGGAGTCAGGACAGAAGAGCCTTTCCAGTGTCTTCTATTAAACTCTACCTTGTGATGAATGAGCCTCTGGAGGTTGAGAGGGTCAATTCAACTAACACAAAAATTTGAATTCTTTTCAGAGCTACGTAAATCACTTGACTATGCAAAAATTGGATAGATGTCCAAAGAGAATCTTACGAGATTTCTAGTACTTCCTGTCTCCCAACAAGGCAGAAATACAAGATTAGCCTTTGTCATGACATTTAAATACGTCTATCTTGTGGTGCCAACTAGAACCAGATGTGTATTGGGTCAGGGGAAAAGAGTTGTAAAAGCCATGGAAAACTCCTTTAAAATGATTCAGTTTAACTTTGGGGTTAGATCAGCCATTTATTATTTTGTGCATCACTAAATACAGAGTTTTGGGACTGTTAGGACTTGGAAGTTTTCCTAAGGTACAGTTTATTGTTTTAGAAATACACATTTCTAACCATGTTGAAATCCCCTTGAGCTGACTTTGCAGAATATAGAACTCCAGTGAAGCGTAGGTTCAATATCTATTTCAAACATCTTATTAGACTCTGCACTCCCTATATATTGTTTTGACCTTATAGGGAGAAATTAAAAATGATTGCTGTACAGGAGTAGAATCAGTACAAAAGAAAATATAGCTATCACTTCTGTCCCTCTCAGAAAATTAAGAATATATGGGGGAAGGGGAAGGAAAACAAAAAATGAGCAAAACTGGTATTCTAGGCTTCAGTGAATCTCAATACGAGCATCCAGAAGATGCAAACCCCTTAAAGTATACTCTCCTCTTGCACCTAAACATGAAGTTCTCCTATGAGTTAACATCTTGAGTCCCCTGAAACAAAAGGAGATAGATTTCTTTCAGAGAATATTTTCCCCACAAAAGGTGTTAAGGATTAATTCCATGCATCAGAAACAGTGTTACATTGTGTAAACTCAGTACAAGCCACTCCACTGTGGAGTCATTGTGAATACACTTCAGTTATTCTTTATTTATAGCACACTAAGCAAGAAGGTGAGCCAGCCTGCTGAACTCAGTGGAAGAGTAAGGCTCACAGCATCTCACCTGACATATTAATCCTGGGTGATTTCTTTTTGGCAGATGCAGTAGGGTTTGAATTACACCCACACCCACTGGCAGAGCCAGGAATCAACAGTGAGCATCAAAATCAGAGCTGAAGCAGAACTTATCTCACTGTCTTCTGCTAAGACCATAAAATGTGCTGGTGCTTCACATCACAACCCTCCATCATGAGAACTGAGATAGGTGGATTGAATACTACCTGACAGTCAGGAGTAATGACTGCAAGAGGTTCATCTGTGGTGAGGCTAATGTGAGGCTTCTAAAGTCAAGAACTCCTAGGTGTAAATCTTGAAGGAAGATGTATACACCTTCCATGTTTTTAAGACCCAAAGACAGGATTGATTCCTGCTGCTTAGTGTCATGGTGTGCTGCATTTCCAACTCCCACTAAATCAGAGTTTGCAAAAAAATACATCTCAGCCTGGTGAAGTTATAAGGTTATTTTTAAATGCTCTTATGAAATTATAGTGGTCTTTATTTGCCCTCTTGTTCAGCTGAAAATGTCTTGAAAATGGCCTTCTCATATAAAGGTAACTGCAGGAGCCAGAAGCTTAGAGCACGATACAGGGATGTTGTGATAGTATGGTGAGAGTTGGCAGCAACAGATTGTAGAATGTGGAATATATTAGGAGTTAAAACAAGTGAAGGGAAAAACGTTTTTCAGCATGAGCTATGGAAATACAGTATCCACAGGGCAAACAATAGGCTCAGCCATGCATATAAAAATGAGTAAAGCAGAAGCAAGTGAAGAAGACAACCCCTGAAAGCTGCTCCCCTTGCTGCCAGGCAGTTCCATAAGCTGTGTACCCATCTGCTGCCTATCAGCTCACAAGTGCCTTTTATAGGTGATGAAAAATTCTCTTGGGCAATTTAATAGTATAACTGTTACTATTTGTAGTAATGATGGCAATCATACAAGCAGGGTGTTTAAAAAGAAATTTCTCCTTTGTGATAGGATGATAAGAAAGAGACAGTTTAACATAAAGCAGGTAATTGATGTATAAAGCCTTGCTGTTGAAAAATCAGACGAATCTTTTTCTGAGATTATTTATTCATGTTGTGTTTGTTCTGAGTTGACTTCTGAATTCTTTTGTTTTGACTAAGGAAAGTCACTAGCATCTTTTGCAGAAAATAAAGAGCTAAACTATAGCTATTTTATCTGTGAGCCTTGCAAGAGATACAGAGCAGCAAGTGGACAGGCAGCAATATCAAAGAACACCATGGATGTCTGGGCATCAGACTGAAATCTCCCACTGTGCCTGGGCCCCTGAGCCATGCCACGGGTCTGCAGGATCCCCAGCAGTGCCCAGAGCTCCAGGTTCCTGGTGGGGTGCAAGCATTGCAAAGGGGATCCAAGGAGTCTCTCTGCCTCTCTAGCAGTGTTGGACAAGGTCAAAAGCCACATCAGTAGAATAAGTGTCAAAATTGTCACTGTTTGCCTCCCTGGATATCAGGACATAGCATGGTGATGCAGCATGCATGCTGCACATGGTAAAGCCTCCAGGTACTGTGTCAGAGATGCTTTCCTCCTTTCAATCCTCCCAAGGTGTCTCTGGAACACAGATGCATGAGAGAACCCCTTATTTGTATCTGAGTTCAGTTTGTAAACTTTGGTCTTACTCATTTTTGTCAAAGCAAGCTAAATCTTTTAATGATTCTTGCAGATGGCTCCAGATTTCATAGTTAGCTTGTGCTTGAAGAAGTGAAAGGCTCAGTAACCATCAGCAAGATACTGCCTGGAAAAAAGCAGTAAGAAGTCCTGTTTTGCATACCATCAGTCAGGTGTGTTAGCTGCTGCTTTGATAAATAATTGCATTGCAGAACGTCAGAGCTGTGTTACAGGTGCTGTAGGTGATATGGGGCATAAGCTTCTGGAATGTTCTGGGCCATTTATAGGAGATTGATCTTCTCAGGTTTCCTCATGTCTGAAGCAAACATGAGTAAAGGAAACAGTTTTTAATCCTGTTTCCAAATGAATTGTTGAGCTACATGTGCATATTTTTTCCCCAAGAGGCTAACTCTCATATGAGAGCTGGAAAAGGTTCCAGGCCTTAGTATGTTGGTTGTCTGCTGTCCTTAAATCTGCCATTAAATTTAATCTTTTCTTTTTCATATGGGTAACCAAAGAAAAGAAAGTTGGAGGCACAAACTCTGGTCTTACGACCATGATCATTGCTCTCTAATGGTTTAGTTTGTCTACCAAGGAATGTTCTTCAAAGTCTGGTTTTCTAGGCTCCTTTTCTCAGAGATCTTTTCTTTCTTTCTGGAAAGCAGAACAAAACCTATCTGAATATAAGGTAGTAACTCTCATCTTCCAGGGTCTCAGACAAGAGCCTGCTTTGTCTCAGAAGATTAAACTTGCAAACCAGACACTGTGAGAAACTAGGCAGGCTTTCATCCCTCTTGTGTGCCTAGCTGAGTTCCTACACTCCTGATCTGTAGATCATTGATATGAACAGCATATAAAAAAGGTTGTGGGCTTTTTTGCCTGACTCCCTAAGAATCTCTCACTCCAGCTGAGTTAATTTGCTGACTAAAACCAGTTCTTCTAAGAATAGTATATCTTGGGTTCATCACCTGAACTATGTAAATGAGGCTGAATCCAAGTATTCTTAAAAGGAAAGCTACTCTAGATAAAGCTGTATTTGGCCAGAGCCTGTCCACTAAGTCAGCAGGGCTGGCTCATGCTGGTAGGATGACGTGAGAGGCACAGGCTTTCACCACAAAAACTGAGTGCCTGAAGAAAGCTCCAGACTTGTAAAGCTGGTTTGCTTGTTTTGGTTTTTTTCTTTTATAAGAAAGATATCCTAACGTGGTTCCAGAATTAGGATTGTGTACATTATTTTTATGAACTATCTTTTCTGAAAGTATAAGAGAATGTAGAAGCCTACATGCCTTCCACCTTCCAAGATTTTCACAGATCAGCTGACAGTGAATGTCTTAGGCATTCTCTCTTTTTTCAGCAGCTTACTTCTTACACAAAGATTGAGCAGTTAAAAATGTAAAATGATAGGGTTTTAAAATCTTTTTTTATCTTGAAACTAATGCAAAATACCTGAATGTGGTTGCTTTAGGTGTGATGTTACACCTGTCCCTTTCTCCCCCTCCTGTTTTCTACACTGTCTCTGTTATAAGGCCTCTTGCACTTGGTGGTGTTGAAATTGCAGTCAGTAAGATCTAGCAGTCTGCAGACGTGCAGATCTGCTTTATCCATCTCCAAGAAGGATGAATTCAAAACTGTAGAGAGAGCTGCAAACAGCATTGTGAGACAACTGTCCTGGTTCAGTGTAGCAAAACAGAGCTCAAGCAAGCCAAGCCTGAGTGCATTTGATGAATGTTGCAAATTGGTAAACAGCCAGGAGAGAACATGGCTAAAGGACAATGCTGGCACAAGTAGAAAGGAATAAACAGTGGTTTGAAATACAGTTGGAGTGGAAATTAAAGGAAGCTTTCTAACAATTAGAATGGGTCTTTTCTTGAACAGAATTTTATTAGCAATAGCAGGAAAAAAAATGGAGCTGGTTAAATCTGAAGTTTATGAAAGAATTTGTCTGAGTTGACCACCTGCGTCAGCACAACCAATGAGTCCAAAAAAGTGACAAAAGACACCTTGTCTTGTCCTGTGTCCCATGTTCCTGACTGACAGCTTCCTGGATTTTGATTAATCAAGACACAGCTCTCTGCATAGTCTGCAAAGGAAACTCACAATCTGCAAAACTCTTACAGAATTTAATTGTGCAGGGAGTCATCCTGTTGAAGACAACAAACATACATTATTTCCAACTTTCATTTTACATAGTGTTTCTCCAATATGTTGTGTTCATCCTCTGGGAGAAGGGTTTTTTGCAGTTGATGGAGATCATACACTTGTGTTGCAGCACTGCTGGTTTTCTGTGATGTAGCTCCATGACACTGCTCAAGCTGTACAAACAAAAAGACAGTGCTGTAGGACAAAATCCTTGGGTAGAAAAGCTCTGGCCTTCTGTTCCTTAGAAGTTCACAGAAGTAAAGAAAAAATTATTGTATTTTACAACCCATCTTCTGAAAGTATGCCCAGGATTTTCATAGATCGATTTGGCCCAGAATTTGCAAAAGGTCACACTTTTAGTTTGAAAATAATGAATCTGATTTTCTAGTGTGTGTGGCACACTGACATCTCTCTGAAGTCTTTCTGATTTGATGAGTCCCCTCAAGAGCTGTTGTAACTGAGTACTTTGTAAATCGGACCATCACCCATCACTTAGGTGTTAATATGAGAACAGAGTTTTGTTAAGAGTCTGGCCCCAATCACAATTTCTGGAAACAAGAAAATCTGGTTTGAAAGTGAGATTTCTTGAAAATCTATCCTTTGGAAAATTTATTCTAAACATAAACATATTATTGATCCAAATGCTTAATGAGAAATTAACATTTGCTTTCCTGTTAAGGAAGTAATTTATAGGTGAGTGACTTTTACAGCAGTTATTTCCCTCAAGGCAGCAGTGGATAAAATGTATTCCTATCTGGTGTGTTTTGGAGACCTTTTGTTAAAAGGTCAGTTTTTGATGAACAGATGTCTAAATTAAGAAAAACAACAGCAATAAAAGTGTTGCAGCTGGTCCTGAGGTACCTGGGGGATTGGTTTGAACAAATAGATGGATCTGAACTGATTCAGATGCCTCCTTGTTTTGGCAAAAGAAAGAGCAGGCATAGAGACCAAGGGTCCATATTCAAGCAGAATCATGTTAGGGAGGTACAATTACAACATAATTGTATCTGTAGCCATTTACAGACATCAGACCATCTCTGTCACTGTTCAAGATCAAGCCCCTGTTGCAGTTATTAGTTATTTGTATTACTACAGTGTTACTGTATATACCAGACATTTATTATAGCATCTTACATAGATGCAGAAAACCACAAAAATTTTCCAATAGACTTGCAGTAAAAGAAAGGACATTATGATTACGCACTGGAAAACAAGAGGACACCAGACCAGGATAAAAAGCACGATACTGGCAGCCTAAATATTGTCAGCTTTGACATCACAGCAGAGGGGAGTTTGAGGGAAAACAGTCAGTGAATATTCACAAAGCCTGAGGGTCAGCAGAGGAAAAGCAATGAAAAGCATCTGCTTCAAACTTGACTTGTCACTATCAAAATATAATGCTATAATGGATTGGTCAGGTAGGAACTTGAAATCTCTGTCTCAAGTAAATGAGAAACTGTACTATGGGCAAAATCAGACTGATAGGGAGATAAAAAAATGAAGCTAACAAAGCTAGAAAGATGCCAGGAGGAACAATATGGTCAAAGACAGTAATCTTCACCACAGATTTCCTCCTGGCTGTGAGTAAAGAGAAGGTTCACTGGTAATCAAGGGGCAGTCAAGACTGGATGAGAGCTGTAACTATCTGAGCAGTAGGATTCAGCTGTGCAAGAGTCTGCCAGTCTTTGCTAGTGTTTGGAATGAGGTACATAACAGTATGAAAAGAACTGTCTTAGACAAAGATAGTGTTCCAGATATGGCAAGGCATTTCTGTTACATTCTACATAAATTGCCAGTTTTAATCGCAGGTGAAGTGTGCGAGCAAGAACTTTGATGTAAACGAATTCCTCCAGCTTTGGTTTTCATTTATCGTTTTTAGTTATTTGTCTAAAGAAAAATTGAAAATTATCAGTTGTCACTAGGATGTGTTCCTTTGCAACTAAATACAACTTTAGCCTTGTATTTTGTATGTTTTTCCTGATTCAGAAGATAAATTCTGATATACATTATTTAATCAGTTATATAGTTTAGTGTAGATTGACTGTATTACTTTAGAATATGGTGAATAGTGTATTGCTCTTTCTAGGCTATCATTCTGTTTTTAACATTTTCTCTACTTATGACCTGAAACAAAACGCAATGGTATATAAGTAAGCAAGTTTTAAATTCTTTCTTACTAGTAAATACAATTTTATCACTGTGGATCTCTAGTTAATACATATAGCAAAGAATTGTTTACAGTTATAATTATTTCTGATCATCATGTCCTTCAGGATCTTCAAACTACAAAATCGTGTCTTCTCTTGCCATGTTTGTTATTAATAGACTTAAAATTTTAAAATGTCCGGCTTTTTCAGAATTATATCAGCATTTCAACTTTTGAATGAAGAATTTCACAAGGAGACCCTTTTGCTGTAAAAGAGGTCAAAATATAACAGATAAGCATGTTGTTTTCTCCATCTAAAGTCTTTCTATGAGAAACAGAGATGGTACAAGAATCTGTGCTCAAAAGAATTGGTTTGAAAGTTGTAAAGCGTTCCTATGAGATGGTTCTTTCAAAGCTTTAGCAAAAGTATATTAGTCTGTAATAGGCTGGAAATAAAGGAGGAAGACACTGGACTGTTAATGAAGACATATGTGTGCATGTTGCTTTTAATAACTGCAGGTGATGCATTAGGTTTGTGTTAACAAGCTTGAAGCTTGAAGTTGGAAAAGTTTTGTTTCCGAGAGGAAGAATGTCTTTGTTGTCTAGCATATTATTTGTTTTTCATCTACTAATCTTAAAATGTGTTGCTTATCTCTTGGGAATCTTTAACATGGGAAAGAAGAGAGATGAGAATGTCCATTTAATGTGTGTTAAGAGTGAAGCTCTAATAGGAATATAATGCAAGAAATAAAATGGTTTTCTCTTAAGTGATAGAGACTGTTAGAAGTCTTTGCAGTATTTGCTTGTCTCCTTTCTTCCCCAGTCACAGTTTTCATTAACATGAAAACAAAGCCTATATGATTCTGAATGCTCTTGCTTCTACAATATCCTTTTTCAGAAAGGTTTGGGAAGGCTATCTTGAGACAAAATGAGCATAGAATTGGTTTAGTTGAATAAAGATTCCCATATGGGAACTTTAGCTCTTCTCACCTGGGAACACCAAGTTTTACAGCTGTAATGATTATGTTGCAAAACTGAATGTTGACTGTAAATGACTCACCTACATTAACATTACAGCTGGCATTAGGCATGCACTTTTGAAATTCATATCCTGGTCATCCCCACTTACCCTTCTTTGGTTTGCAGGCTACAGACAAACCAGGGTTTTTTGGATCAAACTAAGCTAAAAGATGCAGTCAGGAACTTGTACTCCCTCTACCATGAATCATGCAATCTGCAGAACTAGCCTAAAGAAAGTCCAGTCTCCTGAAATGTAGGCTGTGGATATTGGGTCCTCAGTGTGGATATTGAGTCCTCTTTCACTCTGCAGAGCCATTCCTATGGCACTGCACAGTGTAGATAAAGACCAAATTCCTGCTGACTAATGAGCTCTAGACTCTTGAAAGTGCAGTTGTGTAACAGTACCCAAAGAACCTGCAGGAGAGGAGAGCATTTCCATGCCAAATGATAACCTATCTTATTTAGCTTCATTTGTTTCTGAAGGGTAAAAATACTTTGAGGAAGTTACCCAAAATAAAGCTGCTAAGAGCAAACAATGTGCAGCTCAGGCGAATGGATTGCTTCAGGGGAAGATTGGGAAAATTTGCACTGTGTTGCCTTTCAAGGCTGTGGCTGGGAGAATGGCCTTATTCACATTCAGGTTCACATGAATCTGAGTTTTACAGACTGTTGATCTTAGGGTGGATAGGGTTGAAAAGAAGCTGAGGAGATTTGTTAGAGAAGTAAATAGCATTCCCTTGTTTAGTTTGAAGCCAGCACTCTAGTTTGGGATACTGAATGTAAAGGCTGATGTTTGGAGAGTAGAATAGAAGTTCCAGATAAATATTTTCCATGAGAAGATCCTGAGTTGAGGTGAACAGTGATTTTCTTCTGAGGTAATACTTCATTAAGAGGCAGAAGATGGAAGTCTCTCCTGATTCCCAAGAGCTCAAGCAGCAGCAGTAGTCACTGTTGTGAGGCTTGCTGTTGAATTTACATGGTGTATGTCTGTGTCAGTTGGCTTCTGTTCACTTTCTTATCTGTAGAGAGCACTGGTCACTGCCCAGAAATACTGACACCCCGTGCTCCACCACTACCTAAGCCTAAGCCTAAACCTAAAAAAGCTCCGCTACCACCAAAAAATGCCATTGCTGCTTCCACCACCACCACCAGCCATAAGGGTAACGAAGCACCTCATGCTAAAAAAAAGGGAAAGGCTCCTGCTAAGCAGCCTCCTCTCCCGCCGCCCAAGCCAACAGGTGCCAGTGCAAATCGGGAAGCTGGTGAGTACTGCCCGTGCAGTGCAGTTATGGTGGGTGCATGTGCATGGGGCTGCTTGGCTTGTCTTACAGTGACTTGTGCCTTGGTACACAAGGAGGAGCACGCCGTGTGTGTTTGGAGAGAGCTGCCTGCTGGGCTCTGGTTCTGCTGGCCACAAACGCCCCAGACAGCACACGGACCCCCTCGCTGCTCAGTGAGCCTGGGTACAGCTCCGAGCACATCAGAGACAACACTGAGTTCCCAGTTCAAGTGTGAAAGCTGGCAAAAGAATGACCTAGAGAATCAGCTCAAGAAACAGCAGGGAAGAAGGAGACTTCTGAAACCAAGAACGAGTTACCCCTAACTAAAAATGATTTTGGTATTGCTGTAACTTTCTACTGGAAGTATCAACTATTCCAATTAATTTGACAATATTACAAGATCACAAAGAAGTTAAGAATAAAACCATGAAGACATCTTAAAAAACTGTTGAACAGCAGTTGGTTTAGCTGACCCAAAAAAAACCAATACAACCATCAGAAATGGTCAGGCATCCCTCAGGCACTGTGATTCTAAGTCCATATTGGAAATGGAAAATATCAATCATCAGGCACATAGCACATTTGTTTATCACCACACCATTACATCAAAATTCATCAGTGATGCAAGATTAAAGATTATAGGTTGATGTTCTTAAGGTGCTAATTGAGAGTTTGAATGGTTGCAGTATAGACAATGACCAAAATTAAAACATCCACACATAATTTGAACACAAGCAGTATTGTGATGAATGGGCTCCATGGCAAACTTACACATGCCTTGTTTTCAATCTCTTCTCTGTCGTTCAAAGCCCTTCAGTTCCTCCAGTTTTCTCTGTAAGTATTTCTCTCCACAGCTTGTACATTTTGGCATATTTTGTATTTGCAGCATACGGAAAAGGACTGAAAACATTGCAAGACTTCTAGAATTACAGTAATAACTTTGCCATAAAATATTCATTAACTTGGTATTAGCTGTCTCTACTACATCAGATGACTGCAAGAATAAACATTTTGAAAATCCAGAATTTTCTGCTAATATTTCACATGCAGCTGGAAAACTCAGCACTTCCTAGGTGAAGCAGCCTTGTGTCAGCAGACCTTTTAGAAATTAAACAATCCATCACATAAAGAAATGTTTATACCAGTGGTTGTTAACAAGCTGTAAGGTATCTGACTTTTTAGATTAAAATACATTCAGGTTCCAGATTTGTCTTCTATTAGCCTTGCTGAAATGTCAGCCAATGCTTGGAGGCCATACAGATGTCAAATATATACACATATATCCCTTATTCTGCTGGTAATTTCTTCCAACATTAAAAATACACTGTGTTCATTCAAAGTGAGGCAGTACTTAAGTAGAGCTGGTTTGGAACAGTGTTAGTACAAGAGGTTTTTCAGATCTCCATGAAAGTGAACATGAGGCAGCCAGTGATCAAGTCCCATAAAGGAGGAGAGGAGTATGAATAACAACTGAGCCATGGCTCTCCTGAGGACAACACAGCAGGTTTCCATACTGAAATAGTGGAGCTGGGAGAATGGGACTTAAATGTAGGCATGGATGTATGCCAAAAGGCAAACAACAGCCATTAAATTTTTCATTTAATCAGAATTCAAATCTTCTACTGAAAAAGAGGCATGACAGAAAATTGTCAGCCAGCCCAGTCAAAAACAACAGCAGTAGCACTTTTGACCCATGTGGACACGTATAGGGGTTTTCTCTGGGAGAAATCTTTTAAATTTCTGTATCTAATTGCAGGTTCTGAGAATAATGAAAGGGTTTTTACAATGGAAACACATTTTGACATTTTCCCAGCCACAATTGTATGGCCATATATTTGTATTATGCTGCAGTTCTGAAGCGTAAGCATGTAATTGGTTCTGTTGACCTCCAGCCTGCACTGAAGTGGATCAGAACCAGAGCCTTTTCTTTCTACCATCCACCTACTCAGATTTCTGTTAAATTATATGGAAGTTGGAACCATCAGCTATTTCAGCTGTAATTATGAACTTCTGCCTATGCCATTTTTCTGCTTCATTTTGTTTTGCATGTAAATTGAGGTTTGTACCTGATAGGGGAAGATGAGTGCAGTATCAGTAGATTCAGGACAGTGCCCTATACAGTCACCTGGGAGCACAAAGAGACTTGCCTGAAGTTTCTGTGAATTTTTTCAGATGTACTGAAAGTTTTTCACAGCACTCTAAATGTTTATAAACCATAACAGGTACAGAAGAGAACAGTAAAATGTGTCTTTTGAATTAGTTTCTATCTCCTTTGAGAACAGTCTCACTGTGAAAATTGTTTTTATATTGTGAACTTATTATGGCCAGTATCTGCACTTTGATTCTCTCCCAGTCTGCTGGGAGTTGTTTTTATTTAAATGCTTATAAGTAAAGTAGGCCTTTCATCAGATTTCTATTACAGCTTTCTGTCTTACTCAGTAAGCTTAGCCAGAAGGCTGCTATGTAACTTTATATTGCTTTCTTTTGTTCTCTGGAAGTTAATGAATTTTTACTCCATCAGAAATATTTGAGTGAGATACAATTTGATGAAAAGGGCCATTAGATTGTTGTCATTTTTATTGCTTTTTAAATGAAAGTCAGAAGTTTGAAGCTCTCATCTCAGGTGATGGGTGCATTAACACAGCAATCAGAAATATGGCTGAAATGCACATGGAAATGCAGGATAGCTGAAATCTCTAGTGAGATTCATTATACATATATGCTTCAGTATGGTGAGTATGACAGGATTAAACAGCCAGCTTGTACAGCTACTGTCAAACCTTGTTTCACTACATTATCAAGACTCCCTGGGTTGGTCAGTGGTAAGATGAAGGCTTCCAGGGCATACAGGAGGCCTTCAGTGCCTCCTCCCTTCTGAAGGTCATTTGTGCAGAGTGACAGCAGTGCTTTCTGTTCTGCCTCTTTTATGGACAGACCCAGCTGGACTTGAAAGTACACCTTGTTTTGCTGCCCCTCTGCTGTTTGTCATTAAGTAGGAGGACACCAATTGCAATAACATTGTGAAGGGAAATTGGCTGATACTCAGTAACAGTCCTCAGATGTTCATTGAGACGTATAAGGAAAATCACAGAGTTTTCACAGGAATCAGACCAGAAATTCGTGTAGTAGGGGTCAGGCAGTTTTCTCTGCCAGGGAGCTTTATTTTTTTTTTTTTTTTTTTTTTAGTTAGGACACAAAACATACTTTTTGAATAAGTAGTTGACAAAACAAACTCTTACCTGTTTGTAAGGTTGGTCCTCTCTGCTGTTCTTGGGCAAGTATTCATCATTTCAGTATCTCCCAGACAAAGGTGAAATTGGAACTGCAACATTTAATCATCTCAAGCATTTACATGGAGTATTGTAGAAGTATCGTATGTATTTTTTTTCATTTTTAAAGACCAGCATAAGTCAATCCATGCAGAAAATACAGTGCAAAAATAATATAACTGCAAGACTGTAAAATGCCATTTCTTTTCTTGTTTTAGCTGGTTCCTCTCATGCAAAAAAAGTACCAGTCTCCAAGTCTTCTTCATCACCATCTCCTTCATCCACATCATCTCATCCCAAAGCCTCTAAGGAAACTTCCAGCAAATCTGGCGCATCTGGGACTCCCAGGGGCAAGAAAAAACCTGGGAAACAGTCAGCCTCACGAACAGCACCAGATGGGGCTGCTTCTTCCCCCTCAGGTGTGACAGCCGACAGTTTGGAAGCCAAGGCAGAAAAACCCAAGCCTGAGCAAACTTCCATAGTAATTTTTGAAATGGAGAACGCAGACCAGCTTGTTGTGCCCCCTCCTCCCACTGCTGCCCCTCCTCCACCTCCACTTCCACCTCCTTTTCCTGCTGCAGCTAGTCAGCCTGCTGGCTCCTCAGATGCCCAAGACGTGTCAGACAGCTGTGTGGCAGGGACACTCAGCCCTGGCTCAGACACAAAGCCTCCTCTCCAGACCGAGCGTGGCACAGACAAGAGTCTGAGCAGTGCCACCCTAGGCAGCGCTCCAGATGCCGGAGGAGAAGACACGGAAAGGTGAGACAGTGTGGCTGTCCTGGGGCAGCAGTAAGACCACAGCCAGGGAGGCCACATTTCTGTGCATTGGAGGCACGTGGGGATCGCTTCTGTTTCTTCTGCTGACTGGGAACAGTTTGTGTTGCAGCCCAGCACAGTGTGTTCCTTCCCAGGACCTTCGAGCCTTTCACCTGGTGCTCATCACCTGTCTCTTGCTTTGTTGTGTGGCTGGCACTGGGGTCAGCAGTTCAGCTAAAAGCTGATGACACTTTTATTTATCTCTCATAAAGGCAAATGAGAAATTATGCCAAATTATAAGTGGGTTCTTTTCTGTAGATGTCTTTTTTTTTTCCTGTAGATGTCATTAAATATCTCACCGGTAAAGTTCTCAATTCAATAGCTGAATTTACTTGAACATTTGAAAATGAGGGTTTCAGGCTTCAGTTAGTAGGTGCTTGGTTTTTCACTGCCTAGTAACTTGTCTACATCTCAGGTACTGTAAAAACTGGTCAAGATAAAAGTCATAATTACATTTTCTAGGCGAAATAGTTGGCAGAAGAATGAAGCTGGCTTATTAATTTGTCTTTTCCTTGCCACAAAAATCGCATCTTGTATAGAAATCCAAGAAGGTTCAGTCTAGATGCCAGTAGCCTAGAGACCTTCCTTGAAATTCTTGCTGGTACATCTGTTGCCAACTCTATATTCCAGCGCTGCATCTCCCCCTGCTTTACCCTTCCTTTACATAAAGATTTTCCCAAGGCAAAGGGCAATCTGCTCTTGATCCCCATGTTCATCAGTGATGAGCATGAACGTTTTGAACTCAACTGCAGTGAAACTGTATTTAGAATAAGTAGGGTTAGGCTTCCAGAACAGGAAACTCTGCCCTCCCATCTGCTTTCCAACTTGCTCTTCTCACCCCCAGTTTTATGAACTGTTTTCTCTCTCAGTTCCACCCCACAAGAAAAAAAAACAGACAATTAGGATTTGTCTTCATGCAGTCTTTACAGCACATCATTCCAAATTGCTTGCATCCTTTTTCCTAATGCACATACAGAGATACATACACATAACTGCACATGTTAAAATATATTATATATGTGTATTTTTTAAAGGCGTTACTTTGATTAACAGAACTTTTATTTTCATCCTTGCTTATTCAATTGTTTCTCATTTGTGTTGTGTTCTGCTTGCATTAATGTGTCACCCTGTCTGCTCATGAATAAACAGCTTGGCTACCAAAGAAGACCAAGAAGGGGAGGCTCCAGATGAAGCATTCTCTGAACTAGTGGAGGAGGCTTCTGATGCTGCTGCCCCTCCAGAGAGTGAGAGTAGCAGAGAGAGCCATGGCAGTGACTCGGACTCGGATGGGCCGATCCTCTACACGGATGATGACGATGATGATGATGATGATGATGATGATGAGAATGCAAGTACTGAAAGTAAGCATCCTGCCCAGAGGCTGCAGGCTGCCTTTCACAGATTGCGTTTGTGAGCATGCCTGACCCATGCTAGTGTGAGGCAGAGAGAGGAATGGCTGCAGGGAATGCTTTTAGGTGATTTAGTATTTTGTCACTCCTGAGAAATGAGTGTCCTGCTTCTGCCAGGCAATCACAATCAGAAACCTGCTGGGGCCTGTGCATGGGTGAGAGCAGATCAATCATTGCATGGAGAGCGAGGTGGGAGGAGCAGGCTCAGAAGGACATGAGGGTGGAACAAGGCCTCCACCCTAGGGCATCACAAGCCATTCATTTGGCTTGCCCACATCATGAGCTCCTTGTGGGAATTACAGGTGTGGTGGATGACAGAGGAAGCCCATCAGTCAGTAACTTCACACTGTTCCTCTTTGATCAGGATGTTTTAAGCATTGGAGCAGCCTTAGCTGACAGAGCAGATCACAGTAGATTACATCTAAGTTTTACAGCTTTGAAATTTCATCTGAGGTCATGACTCCATCATCAACTGGGCAGAAGCCCCGCTGTGCTGAAGGGGTTGTCCTGCCCCTATTCTGCCTAATCCCTGCTCCCAGCTGCTCTTTCCTTAGGCTAGAGTTCATGTTTATTTTTGCAGGAGCAGCTGTTGTTGAGCTGATTTTCAATAGAATCAGTGGTTCCCTGATCCAGCTCACCCAAAGGCTTCTCCTTTGCTTGGCCAAAGAAGGTGGCAGCAGCAGGCTGTCAGGAACAGGAGGGAGGGCAGCCCTCCCTCTGCCTCCTCCAGGGTGGCCTAATGTCAGTATGAAATCACCATCAAACCATGGTTTGAGAGCCTTGCTCACAGCATTTTTGGATAAGGTGCTTCACTGTACTCAGCAAAGAAGGCCAGGGTCCAGTGTACCAAAGTGGCATGAGGCAAAATTAACTTTTTTTTTTTTTTAATCTTGGCCAGTGGTGCAAGAGCAGGTGAAGTGCCAGGTAGCTCAAGAGGCTGAAGTCTTCTGCAGTTCTGTGTTGGGTTTGAATACAACCCAAAGGGATAGAAACCAAAAGCTCATGTTCACACGGCAGCACAGTGTCATATGAGAAGTGAGCTGGGATCCTGTGGTCTTACCAAGCTGCCTTACACAGTGAAAATCTACCAGCCTAGGGCATATGTAGCCCACCTCGGTCAGACTGTCAAGACATAAGGAAAGTACTATAAAGGCTGTGAAAAATGCCCTTCCTTCCACCACTGTCTGAAGCTAATGCTGGCCAAGCTGCAAAGCCCTTGTCCCTACAGTGTCAGTTTTATGGAGAACAAATTGCTTCAGTGTCTGGGGGTTCCTGCCTAGGTACTTTACAAGCACTCAGAGCACTTTTCTAAGCTGTATTTTTTGTTTTAATTTACAAATAACTTAGAGATGGAAAGCACTATAAAAGAACTAAGTGGTAATTGATTAAAAAAAAATTTGAAACAGTCAGGGAAATTATGATAGAATGAGACTAAACCATTTAAGGCTGAAGAAAAAGAGCAGCAGGTTGCTAAATATACTAAGTAGATAAAAAAGCCAACCTGTAATGTATTAGACTTCAAAGACATTTTAGCATAGATTTGTCATTTTTATCCTATCACTTCACGGATGACAAGTGATGTTTGTATCAGTTTGGCTGGTAGCTTTTTCCTCCAAGCCATTTAGCTTTTTTTATTTTTATAAACTGAGCTAAAATTTTTCTTTTGATGTTAATTAAAATTCCTCTCCTGCATGTGGGAACAAGGTTGCTTTGGGGAGGTATTAAAGTTCTTACTCAGAGTTTGTGTCTGTAACCTGAGCATGAATGAACTAAATCTACCATACTCCTCCTTTCTCAGGCTCTTTGGCAAGTAAAATTCGTCGTAGGGATACTCTTGCTATCAAACTTGGCAACAGACCATCTAAGAAAGAGTTAGAAGACAAAAACATCTTGCAGCGTACATCCGAAGAGGAGAGGCAGGAAATCAGACATCAGATTGGAACGAAGCTAGTGAGGTATCAGTCACAGGGTAAATGTGGTTTCGCTGGGTGGAGGAGGAAGAGAATTGAGAACACTGGGTTCATGTTTTAAATGCATCCCAATATGTGCTGCAGGATCTTTGTGGTACAACTGTCTGGAAAATGGTGTTTTTATTTCTCACAGAACTTTTAACTGTCAATAATACATTTTCTCTCCTGCAAGAAACAAAATCTGAGAGCTTTTGGGTACTTCGGTTAAAATAGGAAAGAAGAGGTGGAGGGTAAGAATGAGTCCACAATAATCAATGCCATGGTTCAGGTTCTTTCTCAAATTTGATAGTGGAACTTCCACTTGTATACCCATCTCAGACAGAGTGGTAGCTCCTGACACATAGAGCATGCGTGCATATTGTCCCTTCTGACCCTACCCCTCCTCCCTGGCTCTCCAGTTCCTTCATTCTTTCATATCATATGCTGATTCCAGCAAAAGAAGTTGAGAGAGTCAGTGTTTAGTGTTTTATTATGCCCACCTCTGAGGCATGTCTTTCTCAAGCTGTTAAACTGCTATGGGATGCATGTTACTTTCTCCTTCTGGACTTGAGAACATTGCAAAAAAAATTTCACTTGCCTTTTACAGGCTTTTCAAAAAAAATCTTCATGTTTATTTTGGCTTTTGTGGTCTCTGAAAACAGACTGCAGCATGCCTGTATTTTGCTAGACCTGTCCTTGTTTCTCTTTGGCTCAGGAAGGTTGTCCAGATGTGGAGGGTATCCTGTGCTTGTTGGAGATTCCCAGATACAGGGTAGTCTACTCAGTGCTGATCCAGTACAGAGTACACAGCCCTGCATCAACACCCAGAAAATGAGCTGAGTTGCTCTGTGAACTGGGTGTCTGGCCAAGGCAGCTATTTCATTACTTAGCTGTAAGAGTGATATATCTACTGTGTAGAGCCCAAGGGTCATTTTTCTTCTGCTAATAAAGAGGCGTGGTTGTTATCACTGCTTTCCTGAACAAATCCCAGCTCTGGTGATCACATCCTGCTTGCCAGTCCTCCCTTGGGGGCTGGAACTGCAGAAGCTGCTCTGTGGGTTCTGCTGGAGAGCCAAAAGGCAATGCACACAGCTCTGCTTTGGTAGCAGGAGACAGTATCTGTGTGCATCAGGGCTGTGCTCATACTCAAAATCATATCCAAGTGTGATTCCTGTTTCTTAAAAATTCCTGGCATGGTGGTCAGCACCTGGCATCATTGAGATCTGGTGGAAAATCTGTTCCCACAGCTCAGTCAAGGTTGAGTCAAGTCCCCACCTGGGACTTCCTACAGCTGGGACTGGTCACCTGTGGTAAACCTGCCAGTCCTCTGGGAGAAATCTGTAAGTTTGACAGTAACTGGAATTGGATGAATTTCACAAGGCTAAAGACAGTCTGTAGTGAACTGTGTGGTGTTGATGAACATGGACATCTATCTTGAACACACCTGCAAATTAAGTTTTACTGCTGAAATTTTTCTTGCTCCTTTCCTCAAGTGAACAAGTGGATTTGTTTAGTAAACACAGAGACAACATCAACCATGTTCTCCCCAGTACAAATCAGAAAATTAATATCTCAGTTTGGCGTTTTTTGTAATGGCAGTTGTTGTATATAGGTTACCAAATACAATCAAGTTTCAGGTAAAGCTCCCAATTGTATTGTACATACAAATTAATGAGGGATGGGTTTTGGTTGTTTTTGGTTTTTAAAAAAACTTTAGTAAGACTTCAAAATATCAAAAATATCAAAAATATCAAAATGCATACAAAATACCTGAGAATTATCTAACAATTGCACAACTGATTATAATGATGGTGCTTGGGAACAAAAAATTATGAATTCATTCATAAAATTATACCTGTGAGGACTTTAAATTTGCTGGTGCAAATTCTGTAGTATTATTCAAGTATCACTTATTAATGTGTTCAGATGGCACCACTACATCTTTCAAAAATGGCCACTCTGGTTACACGAGCAGTTATTGCAACTGCCTGGAAATTACTTCCAGAAGTAACATCTTTTAAGCTCTATTACAAATCCTAATGTGTCCTTTAGATCTGGTTTTAAATCAGTCACTTTGTTCTCACAGGAGACTTAGCCAGAGGCCCACAACTGAAGAGCTGGAGCAAAGAAATATCCTGAAGCGTAAGTATTTAATTCAGGTTTCATGTAGTATTTACTTGGAAAAGGAGCATGTGTTGGATTCGTATGGAAGCCCATCATTGTTGCTCCAGTATTAGAACCATAACTAGAGAGAGAAATGATGTTCTAGAAAATAATGTGTCAACACTTGATTTATACACTAACCTGTCACTGCAGCTTTGAAAATTCCATATATTCAATATGCCAAATTTTGCTTGTCACAATCTCACTTCTTAAAGCTGGTCCCAAAGACCAGGAATGACTTGGATACCCACCCTTTAGAAATAGTTTAGAAATAGTTCTAGGCTGGTTAACCTTCCATCTGATTTTTATGAGGAGGAGGAGGAGGAGAAGGAGAAAGGAATATCTGTAGGAGATGAAGGTGGGATGAAAGGGCAGAGGTTGGAGGAGGAGTAGAAAGAGGAAAGGCAAAGTGTTCAGCAGAAAGTCAATAGGTATATCCCTGATACTTCACCATACTGGCCTTCATATTCACTTCTGACATAAACAGTCTTCTGTACTGATACCTGCATGAGATTCTCACTGAATGTCTTCCCATTGATTATATCCTTCCTCATATCCCTGCTGAAAAAAGGTCTTTAATTCAAATAGTCAAGGGCAGAGGAAGTACATTGGATACTTACCCTTTATACCTATTCTGCCAACTTATGTTGCTTCTGTTTTTTGGCTGGCAAACTCTTCAGAACAAGCATTGTTTTGTCTTCCTTTATGAATCTTTCCATAATAAAGATGTTACCTAAACACACACTGCAACATGCCCAGCTCCACCTAGTCCTGTGTTCATCTTACAGAGGTAGCTAGCACTAGCGCTGATGGTTAAGTAGAAGAAATAAATGAGAAAAAGCACTTTATAGCAATAACTCAAAAATCAGACAAATAACAAAAAATCTCTTAAGGCATGAGAACTTTTCACACCTGATCATAGAGTTGGTATAATGCTGTTATTTCCAGCAATTGTTCAGTAAAGTTGGAGCTCATCTGTGCAGCCCTGGTGTCAGCTCTGATGTGTAGCATGCTAATGGGAAAGGAAGAAAAGAAAATGGGATGTTCACCTGGCAGCATCCATGGACTCTGTCACTTGCTCAGGCTAGCAAATCAGGGAGAGGGCAATTTTTGGCTTTCAGGCAAACCATCCTGATAATAAAATGCTGATAAAACCTTACTGCTGTTTTCTGAGCTCTCAGATGCCAAATAGTGCCTTATTGAAAAGGAAAGCTAAGTTCATGCTTGCACAGGAGAGGGATCAGGGGACTCCTGTCCAGCATATAATGTGAATAGACTTTCTAAAACTGTAACTTCCAAACCTATGAATGTCATAGATAAAGAAAGAAAAAATTGGAAATAAGAACTTTTTTTATATATGACAAATTGCTCATGAAGGGAAATCCTAAACATCTTTGGTGGCCCAGGATATGGCCACTGAGCTGGGAGCACCAGCTGGGTTCCCTTATTTCCCTTTCTCACTTATCTCGAAGTAACCAACCCAGCAGTGAACCTGTGATGTATTTAATATCCCTTTTGCCAGTGTTTATTCCATTCACTGGTTTTGCAATAAGTAGCTCAAGACTGGAAAGCAGTTAATAGATTTCCTCTCCCGTTTCAGCTTGTTTACTTTAAGCTTTTGGCAGCGCACCAGGCCTTGCACTCAGTGCCTCCTGCCATCCTCCCCTGCTGCTGCTGGGGGGTGCCTTAAAGAGGCCAGGGAGAGCAAAAAATAAAGGCTGGGAAGCAGAATTGTAAATCACAAAAAATCACAGAGACCCTGGTGAGCACATGGAGGAACTGCTTTTTGCTCACCATTGAGATAAAATATTTCAAGTTGAAAGTGATCTATAAAAACCAAGGCAAACCAAAAGCAAGCCAGGGTTTGTGATGACAGTCTGACTCAGAATCCTTTCAGGATGCAAGTTCTCTCTAAGCCATAAGGCACTTATATTTTACATCAAAATTATTGCAGTTTCTTCCTGTGGATCATTTGAAAATGTTTATATGTCTTAAATGTCTTTGTTGGTGTAGTCAGCTTTTGTGAGTAAGTTGGGATTTCTTTCATAAAGTTTCCTTCCTCATATTTTTTAAGCAGTGGATGGGGAGAAGGAGTTATATTATTGAGTGTATGTAAATTGCAGCTAAGGGGATGTATTGTTTTGAGTAATATTTATAAGACTTTGAGGTTACATTAAGTGGCAGAGGTCCAAATGTTTACTTCAGGATAAAGTTTGGCCCAAATCTTCTAAGAGGTTCAGAAAAAAGTCCTTTTTTTTTTCCTGTTTTTGTATTTCCAGTTAGTGAGGAAATCTGTTCTGCAAAAAGCTTTGTTTAGATAATATTTCCAGATAAACCAGTTACTGAAAATCCTGTTTCCAAGTACAGTCGCAAGACATTGCAGACGGATTTGTATAAAAACTGTTTGGATAAAACTATCCAGACTTCTGAGACTTCCCACACTAAAACAAAGCTACAATTACTCAAGAGTCCACTTGAAGGAATACGTAAAGCCCTGTCTTTTTTATAAAGTCAGGCTTCTTGTGTACTGGCTTTGAACCAACAGTATTTATAGTATTGGATTATGGCAAAGAAATTTTTCAGTCTTCCAAGAATTTCAGATAAAGATAACTGTATTTTTTTTCCCTGTATTTGTAAGGACAGTGAACCTCTTGTAGAGTGCACCTGTGTGCCTGCCAGTAATGGCTTTGTAGAAAATGGAGTTTAGCTCTCGATGCTTGTTAAGGAATATTAATGGTTATCTTTGCTTGTAAAACCAGGAAAGAGAAACTGCTTTGTGCATTTCAGAGCACTGCAAGAAGCAAGTGCTTTGTTTGTCTTTTCTTTCTCTTTCCTTAGCAAGCCCACAGAGAAGTCTAAACATAGCTAATCCCATAGGGACACAATGGAAAGTTCGGTTTTATGCTCCAGGAGTACTTTTTGGTCAAGAACAGGGCAGTCCTCAGGCAGGACAATTTGTCTCTTCACTTTTCCCCTTCTGCTACAAAATAAATGTTGCACAGAACAGAAGGTGACCATATTTAATGTGGTAAAAGCTGCAAGAGCAACAATGTATAGATGACAGCTGCTTGTTTGGCTTTGACTGGTGGATTATTTAAATTGGCAGCCACAATAACTGATCATAAACAAAATTGTTTCAATTAGGAGTCAAATCCCAGTTTGACCTCCTAGGAATGGCAGGCAGGGAAGGAGGGAAGCCATAGTTTTGCTGGGATCTAATCAGACACTTCTGCAAGCAAAGGGCGCTTGCTGGGCTGGTTCTTTGCCAGCAGGGCAGCAGCAGGACATCTGAGGAGGGGACTTGAAGCTGAGAACGCTGTGTTTATATTTTCTCTCTCCACATCACACAGATTAGATCTGCTTTTAAGGTGGAAAGCAGTCATAAGTGTGTTCCTGTGCATTAATGTGTTCCTGTTTGGCCAAATGAGTCAGTTCATACCTGCAGCCAAATCTTGGCCCTCTGGCTGGAATTTTCCACAACACCTACAGGAACCAGGAGCACCAGACCCATTATTTTTAGCACCACACGTCTTCTTTACTCCCTACAGCAACTTTAAAAACTTCTACCTTAAAAGACCAAAAACACACTAGTTTTTGCTAGGAATTTGTATCCAGGCAGTGTTTTTGTAGCACCAGGCTTAAAGCAAGACTCTGCCCAGCAGGCTGGAGGTGAGAAATTGGTGCTTGAGGTGCAAGTCAGTGCCAGAGACAGGGGCCCATGTGCCAAACAGCAGATTCAGTATATTATTAGCAGCCACGAGATTTCAGTCCATTTCCTTTAGCTCTTGAGTTTTATTCCTAGAAGTAAACCAACTTGAATGTATAAAACACATCCTGTCCCTGACCTGTCATGCAGAAGACTGCCTGTTCCCCTTGGGTGTGATCCCCTCCTGCTTTGCCCAGGATTTAAGGAAGCTCCTGGTTCCTCCTGTTGGTATTGTCCTCCAGAACATGGCTTGCTCCAAGGGGTGCCCAGACCCTCTGCCCAGTCGCTAAGATGCTTCCCCTTTTTGGGGGGTTTTCCCTTGTCCAGCCATCCCAATGTGCAGTTATCTGCTCTCCAAAGGGATGGGGATTGGCAGCTAGCCTTCAACCTTCCTAAATGTCTAGAGCAAGTTTTTTAAGGTATTCTCTCCTCCCCAAAAATACAGAGAAACAGTATTTCACGTGGCCATGGCATTGTTAGTTCTTCCTTAAGGTATGCATTAAGCAGCATGAGCCCCTGTTTCTTAAATGAACTATCTTATTGCTGCTTCTTAGGAGACACTGTGGTTTAGATAGCAAATAAATGCCAGGATATGAATAATGCACATTATTCATATTTTACAAACTAAAGTAAGAAAAGGGCAGTACAGTGGTGTGTTGTCTTTTTTCCTGCTGTCTGCTACTGGAGATTGTCTGAGGTAGGACTTAAGCAATTCCATTCATAAGGGGACAAATTTTTTTATGTCACATGATTCCCAAGTGAATGGAACCCCAAAGTAATAATTTGTGTTTAATTACCTCAGCTACTGTGTCTATTGATTGCAAGGAGAAGATGTTCAAATAAAAGCCTACAGATGATTTATCTGTGCTAAAACAGCTAGAGACCTTTTGATTTTTCTTAGGTGAGGATGTTAAGATATAAGTTATCCTTTAAAGTTATAAGTCCTTAAATATACCCAATTTATTTATTGATAGAAACATTAATTTTAAAAATTAAAATGTAGATTAATTTATAACTCTCCAGTTAAAATTATTCTTCAGTTTCAGTCCATTTACAGTTCCTCTATGGAAACAGGTTATCCATTTCTTTTCCATTTAAGAGAAAAGTAATTATTAAACCATAAATTACATCCATATTTCAGTATCTCAGTAACATCACCATCAACCTGGGATCCAAATAATCCTGGCAGCAGATCTTGGGCAGGCATTGCCTTTTTCCTACTTTTCCCTTCTTACTTTTTCATTTTTATAATTTGTCCTCTCCTCCTTTCCTTGATATTCTTCTTACATGAAAGCATTCAAGTAAGCAAAGGGTATCTTCAGGTAACCTGAGGTGTCCTGTCACAGCGTTTGCTCCAGTGTAAAAGTCACAAAATTCTTTTGTGGCCAGGTCACCTCTACTAACACAGCAGTCTGACCGTAGGAAACAGGGCAAATGCAACTATGCCAGGATTTAAAACTCTCTTTTCATCTATCCAGGCTGTATCCAGAACAAATTAATTTCTTTAAATTTATAGTTAGCCTTGAACTGTAATGCAGAGTCTGTAATCCCCAACCATGAATAAAACAGGATCAGAATTTTATGTATTTCCCTAGGTGGGATATTTCACCCACAAAACTCTCCATCAGAGTTGGACTGAAAGGGAAAATGCTTAAATATATCAATTTAAAAACATGCTGAGCCCACATGAATACATCTTTCTAAGTGTGCTTTTCACTGGCAGTCAAGAAATCAAGTTTGGTTAGAACAGAAATTCTTTAAAAGGAAATTATTTCATTCATATGCCCAAATACATTCTAAAAATGGTCATCACTTTCTGTTCTACTGGTTCATTTGGTCCAGCCAGTGGCCCTTAACCAAGAGGGCTTGAGTGTTGGATCGTATGCCCCCATTATAAAACCAGAAAAAAAAAACAAAAAACCAATTTGCTAACAAATGACAGTGAAACAAATGTCATTGATTCGTGTCCTGTAGCAGTAGAAGAAACTTGGGTAATTCAAATACTCAGACCAGTTTTTTCGCTTGGCATTTATAAATTAGACTCTTATTCTAAAATCAATGTTGGAAGTGAAAGCAACAGTGATTGTAATATTAGAATAAGTAATTGAAACATCAGGCAACTCTTTCAGGGTACTTGCTTGCTGGTACACAGAAAGGAAATGACAGGCACCTTCTCTTTGCTGTGCTCGTGACCCACAGTTGACTTGAGATGTCTACAGAATCAGGGGAAATGCGGATAGGGAAAAGAATGAGAGCATACAAAAGCCAAAAAGCAGACAACACATGCGGCATCATCCAGAAATATGAGGAAACATGAGCCAGGACTTGGAGTTCTGAAGCTTTCAACCAAGAGAAATACAGTATGTGCAGTTATAATACTTAAATATTCACTCCTTTTTATCTCTTCTGAAAACAGAGAAGAATGAAGAAGAGGAACAGGAAGCCAAAAGAGAAATAAAACGTAGACTCAGTAGAAAGGTGATGACGTACTTTTTTGTATTTTTGTACATAGAATTATGTTTCATAAGAATCTGAAAACCAGTGTATAGACATTGCTGCAAATGTCTATCAGTCATTTCCCCAGATTAGAAATCAGTACAAGCCAAGTCTGTGCTGGGAGAAAACCCATCCTGACCAGTTCCCCACGCCAGGAGAAGCATACCAAGTCTGGCCATATCGGTGTTTCTAAGCAGGGGACATAAGTGACACGTTTCCCCTGTCATGTACGATCAAGAGCAGCCACACCTGTAGATCCACTCTTCCCTAGAGCAGTGGAGAGGGCAGCAAAACAATATGACCCCTATGAAATCCCTTCAGTGCTCTTCTAACCACATCAGTGGTCTTAGCTTCTGCAGGTGGGATCATGCTCATTGTCCCTGGAAATGGAGCAGTTAGAGATCTGTTCTGGGAGAGGATGGGAGGAGTTTTCATAAGTATCCCTGGTCTGCCCATCTCTGCAAAAATACAGCTTCCTTAATATGATCATCCTTAGTTAATTAAAGTGAATATTGTTTGAGGTGACTGAAATAATTTGGCATCATAATGACCCCTAGATGGTCAAAACCAGGGTTTTTTGTTAGGCAGATACTTCCAAATCTCACGTATTTTTGGTATTACAGTTTTAACACTCTATGATCATTAATGCAAATGGCCTAGTGGGGTAGTGACAGTTGCAAAGTCACAATTAATATTCCAGGGATAACTGTCATGATTCTCTGTGACCTGCCCGACAAAGACTATTTTTAAAATTGAAGAAATCAGGTTAGGCTGCCTCCCCATTCCTGCGTAGCACTCCCAGGATGGTGCCTTTTTTTAGACACCTGAAAGTGACCCTATTTAGAAATACCATTAAAGTTCTCTTGAGATTACATCATACCCTCCTCTCTTATTTTATTTCATCTTATTAAGCATACTATTTTCTGCCTCCTGCTTACAGCTCAGTCTGAGGCCTACAGTGGCTGAACTTCAAGCAAGAAGAATCCTTCGATTTAACGAGTACGTGGAGGTCACGGAATCTCCGGATTACGACCGTCGCGCTGACAAGCCTTGGGCCAGGTTAACTCCTGCAGACAAGGCAAGGGACAAATGTAGATTATAAGAAAATGTTTTCATCTCTCACTTTTGGGGAGCTTTCCTCTGGTTTACGTTCTCTTGATTCCAGCATCACAAATGACATCTGCTGGTGACAGCAAGATTGTCATGGTACTACTAAGCATCTACTGCTTGCAGCTAAGAAAACCCACTCAAGTGCCTATTAAGAGCATATTTTCCACCTTGATTATGACAGTTCGAGCCAGAATTTCTATTTTTTTTTCTAATTTTTATATCCTTGCTAAGACAGATAAGTGTTTACCAAAGGTGTCCCTGATCTGTGGGAATTCAGGCAGGAATTTGCAGGCAGAAGTCTGCGTCACTGCTACCAAGAGTTGTTTTTGCCACTCACTTGAGTGAAAAAAGGTAGAATCTGCTCCATCCTCTCATTGGTTCTTGGCCATAACCACCAGTGCAGGAATTGACCACATGCATGCAGCACACTTTTGGGAAGTCTGCCCCATCCTACAGTTAATATAGCTCTGCTGCCTGACTAAAAAGGATGAGACAAATGATCCTGTGACTCTAATTTTAAAAAAAAAGTCAGTCAAAGATTACCATAAAGTACTCTTCCATTTCTCTCCTATACTGCTTAATGAAAGGAGAGCTGTAAGATTCACCCAAAAGTTCTGACTCTTAAAGCACTGGGTGTGAACCAAGATCTATGGACTTTATGGAACTCCTGTGAGATGTGCTTGACATGAAGAGTGGTGTGTGCAAGAACCCACTCTCTTTTAGCTAAGGGTAGTGAAGCACTGATTTTATTTCAGCTTGTAGTTTAATATTTTAAAAATGCCAGCTCGTCTGACAATCTTATCAGGTCAAGGTGAATTAGTTAAAAATGTAGTCAGAAGTGTTTGTAGATGTTGGTTATGGGAGATGCTGAGCATTGTCTGGTTGTCCCATACTCTGTGGGAGGTTAGGGGACCCAGCACCTTCACTTTGACAAAGGTCCAACCAGGGTAAACTGCACTAGAAAAAAAACAATAGTTTCCTACCTACTTTAGGGTAGCAGTTTTTAATCTCAGTTCGTTTTGTAATTAACAGGTGCCCAAGGCTGATTCCATGCGCCTCAAGTTTGTTGGCCCTAGCAGAAAGGCAGACTTGGGGAAACTCCCAAAAAAGCCTGAAAAGCCTGGAAACTCCCTTGTCCTTTTTTATTTTCCAGAAAAATCATTCTTCTATTTCCAGTGGGAGCAGAAAATTCTGCTGTAGCTATATTACAGAGCTGGAGCTCTGATGTCTTTGTTGCTGATTTGGTGCTCAGAAATTACTATCTCTTTACTAGCTCTATAGCAGCCTCATGTAAGCATGCTGCTGTGGCTAAACACGACAACTCCTTCTTAAAACAAAGTTTCTCATTTATAAGACTGCAGCGTGGTGATGATATAATTTTATCATGCTGCTTGTCTGTTCTGCACTGAAAGGCATACACACTAGATGACATTTCTTTAGGGATTAATGAAATGAGACTCTTTATTTCAAGTGGTGAAAGAAAAGAATGAGTAAGAATAAACTGTCATTTTCTTTAACAGTGAAGGTAGGAAGGTGTGTGTGTAGAAACAAAACCCCTTGTAGTATGTACTAGAATATTTCAGAAATTATATTTATTACTTGATGAAGTAAATTGCTTATTACAATTAGTGTTAGCAACAATGCATTTACCAACTGTACTGAATTTCTGCTGTTCTTTAGTATCTGCCAACTGAAAACCCAAGCCTGAAATGCCCAAATAATTAATCTCATTTTACATAAAACTCATCAAACCAAGTGACTAATTCCACTTTGAAAGGAAAGTGCTGTTCATCTTGCATTCCTGAAGTCTTGTCTCCAGAGGGGGGATACAAGGGCCTTGCTGTGTGCACAGTGCCTGTGCTGGCAGAGTGACTCACCAGCTCCTCAGGACTGTGCCTAGATAGAATCCCCTCCTGTCTGCCTACTTAGCAAGTGATTGTCAGGGTAATCTAACCCCTTGCCCATTTCTGTCAGTAAAAGTTCTCTATTTCAGCGTGGGCTTTGTTCATCCATTGCAGTTGATTTGGTGTTTCTTGGTTTACTTTCGGTGCTTGATGCTTTGCATTTCTTTGTAGTGGATGAGTGCTTTGAACAGCTGTAATAAAAAAGTCATTCATGTTAATGATCAGAAATGTGTAAACACTGTGGATTACAGTAAAGGAGAATGGAAATGGGAACTGTAAGGAATCTGCTAGAGTAGGGCCACGTTTCTTTCAGACTCTTTTTTTTCCTGAAAATTCATATTTCTTAGATTGCATGTATTATTATTGTTTATTAGGCAGCAATACGGAAAGAACTGAATGAATTTAAAAGCACAGAAATGGAAGTACATGAGGAAAGTCGGCAATTTACCAGGTGGGTGAATCCCTCTTTTTGTGTAAGTGTGAGAAATGAGTATGACAGCAACCCTCTGCTTTTCTGCAAGCTCTCTGTAGTTGTGTCATGATTTGTGTGGATCCCTATCATGAATCCCCTTGAATCCCACCACTGATTCTGTTGGAATTCCCAGTATTGCTGATGCCATCTCTAGCTGATACAGCAGTGCAGGTGACTGCAGTGGAGTGGTCACTATGTAGAAAAAGATTGTTTGGGGAATCTAAAATATAATCCTTTGAAAGAACCCATCAGCTCTTACAGATGAAGTCAGTAATCCTCAAGCACACCAAATAGAGATTTCCTTCTCTGGCAGCACTCCCTTCCTCATTAAAGTATACATTTGTGTACATGCATTTTTTAAGTGAAAACTTGATGTTTTGAACTTCAGAAAAGCTCACCAGTGTCTTGGCAAGCTTTCTAAGGGTCACTTAGGCTCCTGGAAGCAGTTTCTGGGGAACAAGATAGATTGTCCTGTTGCCACTTCTAATGTATTAATGTGGATTTGTTTTGTTCTCTGCTTTGGATAACACCAAGATGTTGTCTGAAGCATTACTATTTTAAGGAGGTCTGAAGTGTCCACAGTTTTTTAGCAGGCTTTCAGATTTGGCAGAGTTATTCCTAGGGGGAGGGACACACTTTCTGTAATCTCCATGGCATGTGTTCATTTTTCTTGAAAGTTACAAAGGCTGAAAATTGCCACCAGCAATCAAAACTCTATTAATACTATGTACACAATGAAAACATTGTGTACAGAGTATTAATATCTTTGCTTCTGCAGAAAATTAAGTCAAATAAAAACAATTGTCTAAGACTGGGTCCCTTCTGTTTCCTGCTACTGTTCCAACCAAACTCAGGATCTGAGCTAGTGAGTGTAAACCACCTAATTAAAGAGTGCATCACAAGGAAAATTCATAATGGTTGGTGGGTGTTTCATGTATCTGCTACTTCACTGCTTGATCTCGCAACTTCAGTGATTTCTTTCTCACCAAAACATGGAGTCTTTAAAAATAGTAAGTTAAAGTCACTTCTGTGTAGATACAACATAAACAAATTCATTTTTAAAAATTCAAACCAGTTTCACAAACAGCAAACCTAAGCCAGAAGATGATTCGGGATGCAGGGTTTTAATTGAGTTGCATTCTGACCACTAGAAAATGTCCTTTTCAAACATGGAGATTTATCTTTTCATTTAGCTTCTGATGTCGTTTTCTCTTTAGGTAGCAGGTAGAATATCTTTTTCAGAATATAGAAAAATACTGCTTTTTTAAAAAGAGCTTCTCAAGGGTGGGAATAAAAATAGCAGGTATAGAAAGCAACCCCCTGCTTACATTGTTGTGTTTCTTGAGATGCATTGCAATATTGAAGCCTAAGTACAGACATGCATGATTCATACAAAAAGAATTGGATATTTTTTCATGAGTTTGAGAACAGTTGAGACTGATTGCAACTGGATTCTTGAAAGCTGAACCAGAATCTAGTGGAGTGAGAAACCACTTAAAAAGTAAATTTTTTTTTTTTCAAGGAGAGTAAAAAATAGGCATAGCCAAATTGTGATAAATATAGGCAATGATTCTGTACGGTCCTGAAAGAATTTCAATCTGAGGGAAGTCAGGTTCTTTTCTGTTCTTTATCCATGCTCTTTTGTTTCACTTGTCATGTTGTGGGGTTGCTACACAGAAATCAGAAGAGTAACACTAGGAAAAGCTACTTAAGAGCAGAATAACATGCAGATGTTTTAATTGAAAATAAAAAGAGATCCTGTTTTCTCTGGGACGTCTCATTAAAAGTTATGTCTTTTCTGCTTATATTGGATTGATACAACAAAAGTGATTTAAGAGAACCATAGACAGAAGTCTCTAGCCAGAGAATTAATTTCTCATATTTTAATTATTTTCAAGAACATCACTGAGATAATGCAAGCCAAAAGGCACTTGTATTGGTACCTGATTAGCAAAGGTTATTCTGTGATAGACTGAGACAACAAGGTAGCTGCTTACTAAACGGAAATAGCTTATAGTACATGGTTTCTTGTATTATTGAAAATTAAATATGGATTATTTAATGTTATAATCAGTACTTACAGTATATTTCAAATGTTAAAATTTTATATTAAACTTGGAAAAGAAAGAACAATGGGTTTCATTGTTCATCATTTACTGTAATGACTGTCAATTGACAGGTTTTCTATTCCTAGTAATTTTGACTTATTCTTTCTGTTATTTCAAAACAAAATCCAAGAAAATTAGTTTATACAATAGAGAAATCAGTACAAGTTTGGGAGGACCACATTAGCAGGTGTTCATGAAGTGTTTCTAATGAAAATGCTATATATACTCCAGTATAATGTTTTTCTACAAAAATACAAATCCCCAGTGTCTTTTCAGCAATCATCTGTACCCTCATTTAGTAGACAAGCTGCAAAGTTGTGAATGTCAGGCTTTGTGCACACCTCCTTCATTTGAGAACTGCATCCCTGCATTGTATTGAATCAACTTACAGGGATAATGTGTGGAACCATTAAGAGAAAATGTGTCAAACAAAAACGTAGGTAAATCCATTGCATTGTAGATGCATCATTATCCTATGCCTTTTTCAAGCTGCTGCATCTTTTATCACTTCATGGACAGATGAATTTTTAAAGCCATTTAAACAGGGATTTCTGTCTAATTATAGATACATTGAGAACCTCATACTGGTGCCCTCCTTACCCTTTTGCTTGGATTCATTACATTTAACATGATTTAGAATTTCAGTTGCGGTGGGTTCCTAACTTATTATAGAAAGGGTTGGTGACACCCTTTGGAGCAACCCACTTCCCTAGCCATCATACAGGCAATCTGGAGTTATGTACATGCCCTATCCAAAAGCCTAAAAAATGTAAGGTATATTTGGGCCTTCATGTACCTCAGTTCACTGCTGTTAATAAGAAGAAAGCATCTGAAGTGCTGTAAGATTTGTTGCTTACTTAAAAGAAAATACAAAATTTTTGTTAGCTTCAATTTGCACAAGGATTAAACTCTCAGAAATTTAATTTTTATGGTTTAGCAAAGCTTTTTTAATAATTGTTACTGGCAGCATCTCCAAATAATGGATGCAATTGTGGCTAAATCTGTATCAGCAAACAAAACAGACTGGAGACTGGTCTCTGGCCCCGAGGCGAGCAGGCTTGGCACAGCTTAAATCCATGCAGTTAACCTCTTCCCCTCACCTCAAAACAGGGTGGTGTCCCCCCCATAGCCAGCCTGCCTGCTGTCCTGTGCTAATCTCAACTATGCCGGGCAGTACCTGAAAGCACTGACTGACCCATGAAAAACTGTGCCAAGGACCACACTTGTCAGGTTAATGGTACAGACAGACAGTGGCACACCAGTGCTTGAGCCACGCCAAATCTCTGTTTGGTTTTCTAAGGAGAGAGAGATGGGCAGCAGGAAATGACAAGTCTGACTCTAAACCAACACACATCAGGAAAATCAGGAATAATTGGCCTGCAAAAGGAAACAGCAATGAGAGCAGGATGAGGATCAGTGTTATTGTCAGTTGAAATAACATAATTCTAAGTTTTTAAATTTATCTTTTCAGGTTTCATCGTCCATAACTGTTTGACCACATCCCATAATTCAAGTAACAGTTTTCTTTGGGGAAATCATTGCGTCCTGAAGACCCAAAATTGCACTGGAACTTGATTGAGTATGAGTGTGTGCTACAGCTTACCCTGAGGCTAATGAAGAAAGCGGCTCTCATCTTTGTCAAAAGACAAATGATTAGTCTAGGAGGAGAACCCACAGGAAGCATTTGTCCATGTCCAGACAGACCACGGTTCTGTGGCAAGCCCACAGGGACAAGCCAGTGGACTTCTTTGTCAGAGCTCTGCAAGTCAGGAAGTGCTGAAGACAATCGCTGGAGAGCCTGCTGCCAGGATCTCATCGGACTTCATAGGGTTGGGACTGAGGGTAACAAGGGGCGGGGGGTGTGAAAAAAGAACTGAGAGCTGGAGAAAAGAGACTTTGTCAGTCCACAGATAAAAGTGGAATGGATGGGACTGATCAACAATGCACTTGGCCAGTGGGAAGAATTATTTTAAAAAAAAAACCTGAGTGTGAGCAATTGTGCATGTAGGTTTTTTAGTGGCTGCAGCCTGTCTTAAAAAGATAGCAAGCCATAAGTCCTCATGTCATCAGTACTTTAGGAAGAACTGTCATTTTCTTTGGTGCCAGTAAATACAGTTGCCAGAAATTAGTCCTAGTATCACTCAACCGTCTTTTTTTAAATCCCAGTGCGCATGCTTCAGGAAAACACATGGAACATTCATACAGAACAAGTCATATATTTTTTGGTTTTTTAATCTTGACATACTCTGGATCCTCAGAAATACATAAACAGGATTTGAAGGACAAATAATGTGACACTATGAATGCAATGAAACGCTTTATGTTTAGAAACACTCCTTGCTGTCTGTAGCTTGCCATTCAAACCAGAGGGATCATTATCTTTGTCATCCATGGCAGGCAGTAGTGACAATTTTGACATCATGCTAGTGTGAATCCAAAGTCAGAATTGAAATTAGGCACAGAAGTATTTATTAATAGGCCTAAGCAGTGATTACTAATGTAACTTTTTACATTTAAGGACTCTTGCACTGCTTTGAGGAAGAATTCCTAGATGAATCAGTATGTCTTCAGTTAGTGGTCCTTCAAAAGTAAAAGAAAGACCCTTGGAGTGTCTCCAGCCTGTTTCTGTTGAGTGTGAAGAGTGCTTCTTAGATTCGTAATTTTTTATACTATCTTGAAATTGTACATGTGAATACAGTACTATTAAAATTAAGTGGTATGGAGTGTGAAAGGCAATACATGTTTTTTCTAAGTTGGCCCAAAGGCCTATTAAAAAGCCTGTGGCATTGTTTACACTAAGAAATTCTCTGTCTTATATTAGCACTTATTTATCCTTTGAATTAGTGTACACAACATTTCGGGGGGAGGGTCTGGAATTCACATATGCATACATTTAATGCAGTATTACAATATATTTGCTATTTATCCTTTCTAATGTGTGTACATATTACAACTGATTTTTGTCTTTTATGTGTCCTGTTCAGTTTTTAATTATGAAGTGTAAGTATTTCTTTTTCTGGCAATAAAAGGTCTGTGTAGATGTGATTTTTACCTCAGAACCTCTGATAGATTCTTGTGGAATGTGTTTAGTTTATAAAATTGAAGGTTGTTGTTAGAGATGTCAGCCTAAAGGCAGGAAGGCAATTTGGTGGCTAAAATTAGATATCCCTCTTTAGAGCTATTTACAAGACCAGGTTTGCATAAATGAGGTGGATTATTTTAGTGAAGAGCACCTCTAGTAACAGGAGAGTGCTTTCCAACAGCCATCATTCTCCGTCACTATTATTTTTAAAGACATTGGCAAACCTTTTTAAAAAACATAAGATTTAAATGACTGTTAGGATCCATTTCACTTTGATAAAAGTCTAATGATGTGAAACCACAAAATATCAATAACCAAATTTAAAAAGCCATCTGCATGCTTGTACCAAAGAAGAGGAAGCAGCACCTTCCTTTTTAATGGAATCAATAAGAGCCATTAGGATTCCATTTGCAGAAAATAAGCTTCTGGAAAGCCCATCATTTTATAAATATAGAAACACCACTTTGACATCAAGGAAGCAGTGAAAATGTATTCTTTGGCACTAAATCATATGGGAATTAGCAAGGCATTAGAACTAAGGTTTGTCAGCAATTCTGGTAGAATGCTAATTTTTACTTTTTAGAATTTGAAGAGTAAACTTAAAAGTTACACTAGAATAGTTCTGCTTCAACTTTTTTTTTTTTGCTGATGTTGCCAAATTTAGGAATGTGTGTCCAAAATCATATCAAGGTCTACTATGTTGACTTTGAAGTATAAAACACAGTATTTCACTTCAAAGGAAATGAGTGGAGCAATTAAATAGATCTCAGTGTTGCCTTAATCACATTGAAACATTTGAAAGCAGCCAAGATACTGAAGGCAGAAAGACAGCTGTTGCACAGGCAGAATAACTTGGACAAAGGTAAGGTCAGACTATAAATATTTTATGTAAGACAGCAGCTCCACCACCGTGCCAAGGTACGCACAGGTTACACAAGCAAACTTTAACTTGTTAAACTCTAAGGATGAAGTGAAAAAATTGACTTTGCAAGAAGACATTCCTCTATACTAGGCCTGGACCATGGATGCAAAGTCAGGTGGCAACCTTTTCGTTTTAAGAGTAATAACACAAAGATGAGGATACAACTTCTGGCTCAGATTTCTTCAAGCTGAAGTTCTGTCACAAGAAATAAGGATGCATAGGTAAGGTATCACTCAGGCTTTCCCTATCCTCCTTCTGGGGCTGGAGGGGTTTTTTTAAAGTATTCCCTCCAAGCCATTGCTAGATGCAGGACATTAGCCTTGGTAGAGATGCTGAGTTAATTTTTAATTTCTTACTATTTTGATAATGATCAGATGCATTGTTTAGCCCACAGTTCAGCAAACTAATTAAGCACATTTATGTAACTGGACAAAAAGAGTTGCCTTTATTGGAACTTATGTAAAATCTTATTTAGTATACTTGGAGAATTAGAACTACAAACTATCCACAGTGTATTGTATCCACACAGAGACATAGAATTGTATATACTATTTTTATATTCTAATTATCACCTAGCAGAAAAACAACAGCTGTGAAGTGTTGTCCATGCAATAAAAAATAAAGAGAATTTGGTATGTGAAGTAAGTTTGCTTTGAGAAGCCTGAAGTAAATTTCTGCTGCCTCTCTTAGTCCTCTGTATTGATAATTTCAAATGTTTTCCAGTTGCATCAATAACCCATTGGAAATATTACACCATATATCTGTTATGGTGCTGCATGCCTACTAGAAGGGAAAAACCGGGACAAGTCCTGAGAAATTCATGAGTGAGTAATTCTAGAGTTAAAAATAAAAAGATGTTAGGCAAAGAAAAAATGGCACTTTTCATGTAAAGTATAGTACAGTCCAGTTGGCTAGGAGGGATCAGTATGATAATTTTTATCAAGTGGCACTAATCATTTAAATGTCATCCACAATATATGACAAACCTTACACACATGATACCTATGTTCCACAGACATAGGTATGTCTACATCCACAGAAAGAAAATTAGCAGCTTGAAGTACTGGTTTCTGAAATTATCTCATATATAATATATTTATCCGTTTAATCACACATCACAGCATGTTGCTGTGGGTGCAAAAGAATGGATGCTTAATCAAATCCTAATTTCTTCTTCACATAAAAAATTGAAATGGTTCTAGAATGTCTCATCTCTTCTTTTGGGTAATACATATTAATCTTTGTAACTCAAATACAGTCTATCTATCTGAATTTTTTTTTTATTTGTGCTGTGTATGTTGACTCAACAAGTACCAAAAAAAAGAAAAAATTCAACTAAATGCTAATGATTATTTAAGCTAAATACCATTTCAGCTGGTGATTTGAAACATGGTAGGATCAGAAGCAATATCTCTTCAAAATCACTGTAAGTATATCATGGCCATTTGTAGTTCTACAAGACTGCATTTATTTACTGGGTTTATCATTTACCTACAGTTGTGCATGTCCCTTGCTGTGGTGGACTTTACCGACCTCTGATGTGGTGTGGGGCAGGACAGCCCCACCATCTGCTTTGGCCACCCTGAGCACCTCTTAGAAAAGCACTACAAACTCAGTGTTGACATGGAAAAACCACATCAGATGAGCACCCATTTTTTAACCTGAAAGCCAAATGAAAGCTGTGAAATGAAGGGATGAATTATCATGGATATTATAGAAATTAGACCCTTGCTTCCAGGTAAAATTAGTCCTTGGTTTCCTGCAGAGATGCTTCAAACTCAGACCTGTAACTAATAATACTACAGCTACATGAGAGAATTAGTTTCAAATTAACAGTTGCTTAACCTGACTATTAACTCAATTTGAGTCCTGATTCTGTATCATCATAAAGTACAAGAAGATCCAGCCAGCAACAGACTAAAAGCATCTAATCCAGTTTGGCAGCTTGGGAATCAACTGAAACTCCCTGACTGTCTGCAGCTGGCAGGGCTTGGAGTCAGGATAGGGACAGCCACACTGTCACCTGGGTACCTGGCAGGACAGGCCTGTATGAGCACTGCTGACATCCTAGGCAGAGACCAGAATATTGGCCCACGTCTTAATGTCTGTTAATGCTTTAATGATAAAGCAAACCAAGCTACAAGTCTACATTTGCCTGACACTGTCAGCTACACATGAACTGTGTGTTTAACACTTTCATGTCCTCTGGTTTTAATGATCTTCGGGAGTTAAGACCTGTGCCATTGCTGTAAACTAAACTGAAAACATACTCAGGGTGAAAAAAAAGAAAGTATGGATAAACTTGCCTCCTGCCTTTAGGATCTTCCACATTTGGTTCTATTATTGTTGCTAGCTGTATTCTTATTATACCAAGATCAGTGCAATGCTCACTGATGAGACACAGATTCTGATGAAAAGAAAAAATATATGTTCTGGAAGATTTTATAAGGTTGATACCAAAATATTTTGAAGGTCAAATTAAAAAAACCAAAAAACCTCCCCAGAAGAGTTAAAAACTTCTATTTAACAAAAATCTGAAAAAAAACCCCACCAAAACTTACGAAACTCTATCTATAGAGAGAAAGGGAGAAATGGAGTGAGATTAATTAATTTATTAATATATAAATTAATAGTAATACATTAATTAATATATTTTCTGTAATGTTCGAACATGTTTCTATTTATTAGCTTTAATAATCAATAAAGTTTCACTTTGTGTTTCCATTTTGTTTCAAGATTTTAATGGAAACAAAGCTCATATGAACTAGATACAGCATTTCACCAGTATTTTCTAGAAGCTGCATATTGCATTGGATAGAAACAAAGAAAGCAATGATATTATCTGTATCTTCTTGTTCAAGTATAAATTCTTTATATTAAAAAAAGAAATCTTGCAATACTATGTCAAATTTAACAATATTTGAACATTGTTGTGCTATAGTAAAACGTTTAAAACGTTGCTAAACATATCTTCTCTTCCTTTCACTACTTTGTGTGGTGGTATATTGATTTGTAAACTTGTATAAATTTTGGAATTAAAGAAATACTGTGTTTGGGATTATTATTATTATTATTGCTGCTGTGATTTGAAACAAAAATATTAATGGCTTGTTTGAATGGCCATCCAACTGTATTAGCAGCAGGGGAAGGGTGGGGAGATTGCACATGCTTAATTGTCTGCAACTGTTTAAATAGCTCTTAAGTTTTGGGAGGGAGGGTTTCCTTAAAAAAAATAGAACTCCTTTTACAACCGAACTGCAAATCTGGGAGAGGCACAAGAAGACTGCAGAGCACAGACACTGTTGTACACACAGGAGCTGATAAAGCTGGTAAGTTTGTGTCCTCGTTCTGTGGCACAATGACTCAAACAGTAAATCATGGCAACGTTTGTGTGCTGTGCTTCGGAGCCAGCTGTATCTTAAACACGGGCAGATCACGAGCCTGTATTTCCCTGGCGCAGCTGCAGTACACCAGGACAGGTTCAGCACTGGGAATCATTGCACACCTGCCTCTTCCAAGCAAGTCCACGCGGCCACTGCGGAGCGATGAGACTCCAGTAGGGAGGGCTCGATCCCACACCTGTGCGGGTTGCTAAGCTCCAGCAGGGGCTTCCGAGGGTCCAGTACAGCCAGAAGAGTCTTTCTTGCTAAATAGACTCTGAGGTGGCCACAATCACCTGAAATGGAATTTCCACATGAATTCATTGGAATTAAAATTTTGCATAGAGAGTGTCACCTATTCATACACAGTGGGCCAGTTCTTAGACTTTATCGTTTCTATTAATTTGATGAAAAATAGTGAAAAATTATTCTTTAAGTAAGTTCCTTTGATTTCATTAAATGTTTCCATTTACAAGTCAAATAAGGCAAACAAAATTCAAGCCTTGGTTCCCCACCGCCCATCATGCTAAATAGTTACTGGTAACTACAAAAAATGTATCTGAAACATTATCAGCTTAGAATTGCTGTCCCTTTAAAACATACTTTCCACATGTTTCATTACTTTCAAAAGATGGAAGGCTGTGGAGAATCAATACCAATAACTTTTCAGCTTACGCAGGGCGGATTTTGTGTAACAATTATAAAATGAATGCATCTACTTGGCTCAGTGTGATTGCACATGGTAACTCAAAATAAGTGGCAGATCTGATACAGCATTTTACACAGGTGTGTGATATCTGTGAATGCAAGTAACTGCAATTGTTACAAATTAATGATAGCTGCTTCTTGAGATTTTATCTGTAGTGTAGTATATATATATATATATACATATGCACACGAATATAGTCCAGTATCATCACCTGAAAAAAATGAATGTATTGGGGGGTTTATACAGCACAATATGTTATGCTTGTTTTGTGGTGTTTTTATTAAACAAGAAAACTGAAAGTGTGCTGCCTATTTGTACACTGTAGTATACTCTGCTGTGCACAGTTCCAAGTGCCTTAGACAACTGCAACTTTGAACTATAGATATACATGAATGAATATATATAAATAGAAAATTTGAAAATCCACCTCAATAAAATTGTTCAGAACATCTTATATAATATTTTGTTCTTGAATCTCTAGCATGTACATGGGCACACATAGTAAAGTTAAATTCAGAGAGCCTCCAGAGGCCAAACCAAATTCCCTCCTTGTGGAAATGAGATGAAAAAAGGTTCCTGAAACTTTTCTTTGAATTCTGGTAAATTCACTGTGTGTGGTGTATTGATGGAGAGGTGTGTTCAAAGAGGTGATACTTGGTTTAAAAATATAAAGTTAGTGTTGTAGTCAATGGTTTGGAGACCTAGTATATCTCCCAGTTTCCCCTGTTTTTATCAGCAAGAAGTGTTTTTTACCAGTTTCATTGACAGCAGATTTGCAGTGGAAATACACCCTCTGCACATGAACAAAACTGATCTGCACAGCTGAGGGTTCAGCCTAGTCAGCAGTGCATCTGCCAGTCTTTTAACTTTCAAAGTGACTGACAGTAACTTCCATTTTTAATTACTCTGCAATAATTTCTTCTTTGCAAGAACTAAGAGAAAAAATGAGCATAAATTTCCCCACACAGAAGGCAAGTTGATTATGATAAGGATATGCTTCCAGCATATTATCTGTTAAGTGGCTGCCTTGACAATGAGACTGTTTCAATACTGACCATTTTTCTTCTGCAAGCATAAAAGAAGTGGTTAGTGACCCAAGCACTTACTCCCTCAGTCTCTGTAGATGCTCTTTGCTGAGCTCTGTTAGTAGACTCTGCAAAGAACCCAGTGACAGAGTGCAGTGGGATTGATGGCCTTGTAAGGCTTGGATGAAATGAGAAGTTAAGCAGAGTCTCACAGACATGTAATACTAAATATTGAATTTTGATATAAAAACAGGAGATGACTTGCCCTCAGGTATCAACAAAAGAGGCAATGTGATGCCTATTGTTGCTAATCCTCGATTCAAACTCATCTCCAGATACATTACATGTTAGTATACATTACATGTTAGTATACATTAACCTTCTGTGATATGGGAAGGAACCTGTTTTAATCTCTCTCTGTTTTAATATCCTTCCTCCTAAATACTTAGAATCTAACCAGGAAATTCAAGGGAAGGATGTAAATTAAAGAAAGAGAGAAAACACTGAGACTTAACTGAACAGGTAAACTTATCTTACACTTAGGAAACAGCTGACTAACAACAGAGCTGAGAGCAAATTTTAATTTTTTCCACATCCAAACTGATACAATGCTTCTAAACCAGATTTGGGGCACGTGGAATGACAGTACTGCCACCACCAGATATAGAGGTCACCAGGTTTAGGGGATTGTGAAATGTAGTCCTTGTCACCAAGTCTTTGTACATATACTTCTGGGGATGCCAGAGAGGCACATCAGGACCTTGGAAGCAATAAGGAGTAATCTAATCTACATCATTACCCCACAAATAAATGCTAAGTACTGTGTTTTCAACAGCTGAACGATTCTGCTCTTAATTACCTTGTGAAAATCCAGCTCTGCTATTCCAGCTGTCGCTGAGTTGGCAGTACGGACGTACTGTAGGGAGGGAGTTGTTGCTGTTGGGTGCATCGTGAAAAATCCATTCGTAGCCTGCGGTCCAGGAAAGGTCATTGCTGATCTCCTTGTGCCGCAGGGTGCGTACAACACCCGCTCATAGCTGGCAGCAGCAAGACACTCACCGGGCATTTTTTGCAAGAAAGAGGAAAGTCCAGCCTCTGCACCGACATATGCAGAGATAATCTGAATATCCCGAGTACAGGAGTTATTCCAGCTGATGGAGTGGATCAGATTAGATTGTGCACTTCTGTAAGAGTAGTGTGATGAAACTTGGTAAAGAGTCAAGAGTTCAGAAAACAGCCAGAAGAGTGAAAAATCTGGATTCTTTTGGAGCTTTAGTGACACCTACTGAAAACCAATGAAATCCACCCAAATACGACTAAAGCTAATACTTTAAGGTACATGCATGCATATATATTTAGCTGCATCCATACACACATAATGTGGATAACTTTTCTGAATTTTCAATGAAAACCTCTTCTTAGCTGTTACCCTTATTTTCCTGTGAGCACATGGAAAAAACCTGCTCCGCTCTGTGTTTTACACTTTCTTTCGAAAAGTAACAAAACAGGTTTTAAAATACCAAGCATACTTCTCTTTTTCTTAGCAAGGAGCCTGTATATGAGTGCCTGCGTCTGTGCACAGCCCCGCTACACGGTGTAGGTAAGATTTATACAACTACAGTGTCATACTGCGGAATGGTTCAGGAAAGGACCACAGTGGATCATCCGGTCCGAGCTCCCTGCTCAAGCAGAGCTATCCTAATGCACAGGGCACTCGGTTGTGTCCAGACAGTTCTCGAGCATTATCAGTGAGGAAGACCCCACAACCTCTCTGGACAATCTGTTCCACTACGTGATCACCAGCACAGTAAAGAGATTCGTCCTTATATTCAGGTGGAACTTCCCGTGCATCAGTTTCTGTCTGTTGCCTCTTGTCCTATTGCTGGGCACTGTTAAGCAGAGCCTGGATCCAAACTCTTGACACGCTCCCTTCAGATATTTATAGACATTGATGAGGTCCCCCCTCAGTCGTCTCTCCTCTGAACAGGCCCAGTTCCCTCTGCCATTCCTCGTCAGAAATAAGAAATCAAATATAGCAAAACACTGCTAATACCAACACGTGATCTCTACTCCCGGTCCTTCAGACCCAGCCCCACTACGCGCCCGTCCCCTCAGTGAGCCCCGCCCCGTCCCGGCTGCTGCGCACGCGCGCTGCCACTCGCCCGCCTGCGCCGCGTTCTGCCATTGGGGGCGCTGCCGGCCCCAACCATTCCTCACTATTTTGAGGGGAGAACTGGGAAAATGTGTCTCAGGCCAGCATCCTGCTTGGGTCCACTGAGCCTCTCTTTTATAAAAATACTATTGCAGTCTGAGAAAAGGGTCGGATTTTTTGGTGGTTTTGTTTTCACTGGAAAACAAAAACGTACAAACCTGGCCGGGCTGGCGGCTTATCTGCTTCCCCCCGTTGGTCACTGGTCTATCCCAACATGGAGGGCAGAGGCCGCGGGCGCTGACGCCTGGCCCGCGTGGGAGCGAGTGGGGTTCGGGACACCGGGAGTGGCCGGGGGACAGCGCCATGGTGAGTGTGCCGTGTTCTGTACTGGGAATTGCCAAGGGAAGGAGGTGGGTTAGAGCAATAGGGTCGCCCCCTAGATAGCCTGTATCGGCTGTGACCCGTTTTGTTAGGAAAGTGAAGTCGGAAACCTTGCTGGAAGTGTTTCTCCAGGTCAGATGTGGTAAGCCTTTCATAGGAAAGGCATTCAGCCAATTGAGAATACTTGGTGGATTTGTTGATGCAGCACGCACGTGTATTTCGATGTTAGAGCTGTGCTGGGTAGGGGTCTATAGATGGTCCTCATGACTGGTGTTGAATTGCTGCTGTAGGAGCAGCCGTCTAAAGAGCTCTCACGGACAAGATGTGCCTAGATAAATTTCCTTATGTCAGTTTCCCTTGTTTCTTGGATGAAATGTGTTGCAGAATTCCTTTCTAGGGCTGCATGTTAAACTCTATGTTCTATTACCCGATATTTACTGTTCGATGTGTTGCCATTTTGCAGCTGAATAAGCTGCGTTTGCTGTTAGAACATATTAAATGTTCAGTCTGTTGTGCATGTGGGGAGATGAGTTAAGCTCCCACTGGTGTCTTCATGCTTATATTTATAAGGCATTGTGAATAAACGCAAATGAATACAGCAGCACACTACAGAGAAAAGATTCTCTTTAGGTGCATTTAATATTTCATTTTTTGTTAACAGTTAACCAAATTTCCTTTTGCAGCCTCACAAGAAGAAAAAGCCCTTCATAGAGAAGAAAAAAGCAGTAACATTTCACTTAGTGCACCGAAGTCAGAGGGATCCTCTTGCTGCTGATGATACTGCACCCCAAAGAGTTCTGCTGCCCACACAGAAAGTAAATACTCACTTTTAATACTGAGGTTCATTCAGATAAGAAATACCATGGAGAAAGAAAGGTGGTATGCCATTTACAATTAAAAAACATAGCCTGAGAGAAGGTAGTTTTTAGTTCAGCTTATTTTTTAAAAAGGGATGTTGTCGGGCATTTTCACAGTTGTGAGTTACTGCCTGATGGTTAAAGGATGAATTGACTGGCATTAGAGGTGTAAATGTATTTTAAAAACAATAGCAAAGCTTGCCTGGCTCCCTGCAATAAAACAGGCACTGTTGGTGATGTCGCTGACAGAAAAGGTCCTGCTCAGCACCCAGACGTGGAACCAGCTGACTACAACAGTCTAATTAGCTGTGAAGTAGTGGAGAGAGGACTACAAGGACTTCAACGTTAAGACATTCTCAGTATATATGTTGCTTTTCTTTTTGCTGGTAAATTTTAAATGGACTTGAGTAACTAAATGCATTCCTTTTGATTATTTTCTTCTCCCGGCTTCCTAGGGGCATGAGGAGCAAAGAAGGGCAGAGCAGCGCAAGTATGGTGTCTTCTTTGATGATGACTATGACTATTTGCAGCACCTCAAAGAAGCCTCTGGTCCCTCTGAGCTTGTCCCATCTGTGCGTGGACAGCAAAGCAGAATTGTCATCACAAGTGAGGGGCACATAGAAGATGAAATTCAGAGAATTTCAGTAAGTAGTATTTTTGCTAATGGTAATGCTGCTTTTTGGAGCTTTAACATCCTCTGGACGCATTAATTGTGTGCATTTATTTATTTATAAGGATTCTTTTGACCCACAACGAGACTTTTCCTACAAGTAAAGCTCACAAGCCAGAGTTTACTGATGAACATTATTTTGCTAGCACAGAGTTGGAACACTTCGGGTTTCAACAAACAAACTTTTGGCTACAAACTTTTCTCTACAGAGATGGCTTGTAAAGGTGTTGGTTTGAACAATTTGTGTGTTTTCTGGGGTAGGTGTTTGTTTTTAAGGTTTTTTAGAACTTTTGAGTGTTCTGGGAGTTCTGGTTATGCTAGGTTGTGTTATCAGCACACCATGTTTTTAAAGGGGAATGTAATAGAAACTAGACAGAATAAAAACGAACTTTCCAATGGCTGGCATAACTTGTAGAAGTTCATGATGCTGAATCACATTGGAATGGAAAAGCAGTAAATGCTTTGAAGCAGTGAAGTGTGCCATTGCCAGTCACTTACAGCTGAGAGTGTTTGATTTCTTTTGGTCACAGGACTGTCTGCATGATTTTGTTAATGTGAGCTCAAATAAGAAACTGAGAACAAATATATTGTGATCATGTTTTTCTGTTTCTTTTTCTAAGGCTCCATCCATTAAGTTGCCTTCCTCGGTATTTGCCACAGAGTTTGAAGAAGATGTAGGCTTGTTAAATAAAGCTGCTCCTGTTTCAGGTATTTTTCACCTTTCTTATTCCGTCTGTTTGAATCCAAGTCTGGAACTGGATTTTCACTCAATTTCTTTTCAAATGCTGAGTAGTGTTTACATTCCTTTGTTAGTGTCATTTCAGGGTTACAAGCTGTGAGTAGGTTTTTATTATGTATCCATGTTTGCACTGGACATTGACTCCACAGCTATCTCCATAGTTCATAACAGTTAGGAATTGTAGCAGTTCTCTCTTTCTCCTGGCAGAAGGATGCTAAAGACAAATCTGTTAATTGCAGCAGAAAAACACTTTTTAACCTTTTGTAATATAGGGAATTTTAGGGTTGGAGATAAAATGCTGGTAGTTGATCATGTGGTACTTTAACCTGGATATTTTTTCTTTTATGATATTCTATATTAAAATACATTTATGGACGCATAAGACCTGGGTTTTGTTTTTTCTGAGTGATAAAAATTGACAAGAGATTGGTGACATGCCCTGGCTTCTATGAAATCTACAAATATTCTTGAGGAATTTTGTGATTCTTTGGTTTAAGCTTTCCTTACTGCAAATGAACAGTCCAGCTGGATTGGTTTTTATCCAGGAAAGTAGCCTTGTAATGTCAATATTTATGTTTTGTTTTTCCAACTTCTAGGACCACGGCTAGATTTTGACCCAGATATTGTTGCCGCTCTTGATGATGATTTTGACTTTGACAATCCAGAAAATATCCTGGAAGATGATTTTGTTCTACAAGCAAATAAACCACAGAAGCGGTAGATTGAGCTTTGTTGAAGTATTTGCCATATGTAAATAGGAGAGATGCTATTTGCTATTGCATGTGGTGGGGTAGGAAGCCACCATGGTTAAAGATTTCAAATTGAATACTTCGCTGTGTTGAAAAAAGTATTACCTTGTGTTATTTGGATGGTAGTTTGCAAAATCAAATTTCTTACATTATCCGAGAGATGGGTTTCATTTGTTGCTTTCAGCTCATGATTATATGCAATGTTTGGAATAATAGTGCTCTTGAACTGTTTAAAACATTGTCATCTATTGTATGTAAAATACATCGGTAATAGTATTGATGGAGGCGATTGGGTGTTCCTAAACCTTTACAAAGGCTTCATGTAAGCATTTTATCTACTTCGGTTTTGGTATCATTCTCATAATTTCATGAACAATAAGAAATTTTGCTTGTTTTAATAGTCAAGAATGCAGCTGATATTCTTCTGCTTTGACATGTACAGCTGAATATAAAAATAACTTGACTGTCAGTGCACAGATGCATGATCCAGCCAGCAATGCTTTCAGCTCTCAGACAAAAGTCTCACTCAAGATTTAAATCTGTTATTGCCAAATTGTTTCAGATAACCCAGCGTAGGTCAGAGCTATGTAAAGGTCCACGGATTATTCTAAAACTATTTTGTACTTCTGTTCAGGGGACCAGATGCTGAGGATGAAGACGAATGGGAGGATATGGAAGATGATAGTGATGAAAAGGATAGCTGCAGTACTGATAAAGACTATGATTCAGAAGGTCCTTTGTCAGATGATGAGGGTAATGGACGGACAAAAGAATTCCTTTTTATGCAAGAAGAAACTAAGAGTCGTTTCACAGAATATTCTATGACATCTTCAGTAATAAGAAGGAATGAGCAGTTAACCCTGTTGGATGACAGGTTTGAGAAGGTGAGGCAGCTCAAGAGTGTAACTGTGAAAGGTGTTAAATGCTTCTTTGTCTGTTGATTCATTTCATCCTGTAAACCTGTGCAGATTTTACTGCTTTTAGTAGTAATCAGGGCATCAAGCCATTGCTCTTTACAGGTATTCTGCATTTAATACTTGGTACATTTAGAGGCTTCTGTCACCTAGGTTATTGTGTTAATTGTTATTGAAAGGCCTAGCACTGATGGAGGTAAACAAAATTACTCTGATGATTATATGACCATTCATAATTAGTGTTACACTTTTGTCTGAGAGGCTCAGTTCAACACAGCAAACCATTTACGGGTCCCTGGTAAAGTATACATTCATGTACTGGTGTCAGAGCAGTGGAAATAAGGTGGAACTTTTTTCTGAGCAGTGACAGGCTTCTTAAGGCATAGATTGAAATAATGCATCAAACAGAAAACATTTTCTAGAAACTGGTTTATATATTATTATGACTTTGTGAGTCCCATACGGAAAGAATGCAAGTAAGGAGGAAATCCTACTGTAGATGTGTTTGGCAGTTGTTCAGCAAATGAGAGGGGAGAGGAAAGAGGCAAATAAAAAGAAATGTGTGGCACTTTAAGCTATCAAGAAGTCGCATGACAAATGTGGTCTAATTACAGATATCCACTTCTTTATTTTAGTTTTATGAACAATTTGATGAAGATGAGATTGGAGCCTTAGATAATGTGGAGTTAGAAGGCTACATTAACACAGACAATGCTCGGTTGCAGGAAGTCCTGGATGATTACTACAAAGAGAAAGCAAAGAAGTATGTATTCCCAGAAGTACTGCTTCACATAAGTAGTTCTGTAATCCTCTGTTTATACGGAAATTTTGGGTGTGTTGTTTCAAGTTCATGTGCTCAAAGATTGCATCCCACAATAAAAGCAGCTGCATATGAGTATTATCTATTTGTATGATAAAATCAAGTGGAGGAATTTTGTTGGTTTGAGTAGGTTATGCTCCTTTTGTATAATTGTGTTGAACTTAATGTAAGCAGTATCTATTAGAGGCATTCATCCTCTTGAAAAGCAGAAATACTTCTTTTGTTGACTATGTCTTTGTCCTAATGTTTTTAGTTTATTTTGAGGAGGCTTACTTACAGAAACTTAATTCTTGCTGCAAATTTCATTGGAAATACCTTTCTTGGGTCTGGGGCTTTGCTTAAGGGAGTCTGGGCTTACATAATTATACATTTTCAAAAATAGATAAACTGTATTTTTTTCTTCCCTGGACTTCTTCAAAGTTGTGTGAAATTGGATGCTCTTGAACTTGAGGAAGATTTGGACTCTCCTGCAAATGAAGAAAGTGAAGAAGAAAAGGAAGAAATCGTAACTGTCGTTATTGAAGAGCCAAAAGAAAAGTGGGATTGTGAATCCATTTTGAGTAAGTATTTCGGAGTTTGCTTATTTGTTCTTAGCATTTCAAAGTAAATGATAGGTAATTTCAGAACTTTCCTGACAGTACTTCAGGTAAAATTATGTGTTGTCTGAGCACAACAGGAGGAATGTCCAAAACCTAAGTAGCAGTACAATTCATCATTTCTATTTGCAAGCTTTTCCTGACTACGTTTTTTCCTTTGTGACTTAGGTACCTATTCAAACTTGTATAATCACCCAACACTTATTAAGGAGCCATCAAAGGTAAAATTACTGAACTTACTCTGATGAATAACACTGGGAAAACTTGAGATAAATGTGTTTTCTCAATGGGTATCTGTTTTAAAAGACAGGGGCCAGAAATGAGGATTGGGGAGGGCTCTGGTATTATTTCTTCATTGAAGAAGAGTTTAGATATATTTTTTCTTATTAGAAGGAAAACTGAGTTCAAAATTTCTGTAATAGCTAGGCAGAAACAGCAGGGAATTTCTTTTGCTGTTTTCTGTAAGACACCTTCATGTAGTCTGTGTCTCGCAATACATACTTGTTCAGGTTTATTTTCCTGTGGTCTGAAACAATTTATTCTAGTTCTTTGCTCTTCCATATATTCCCCATCATTAGAGCACAGCTTGATATCCCAGATATGAAAGAAAACCTTTTTCTTGCGAGCTTATAAAGGAATATTAAGTGACTACCTAAGTTCTTTATTTTTTCAGTAATATTGAAAATAAAAGGGGAAAATGTTTTTGTTGTTCTGGAAGACCAGATTTTGTCACAGATGTTTTGATTTCTCACTTTGGGATTAATGTGTGTTTTGTGAGGAAGTTAAATAGTTTGAGGAGACTTAACATTTATTACTGTTAAGTCTGGATCTGAAATTTTTAAACTGATAAGGCAATGCCATGTGCACTTCTTGAAGAAAAAGCTAGGGGCCACTAATACATATGCACTCTCTATTTTAGCCTAAACCAATAAAAATCTCTCAGAAGACTGGAATTCCCCTGCATGTCTTGCCTGAGAAAGGTCTCACTGCTAAGCAGGTGGAACGCATGCAGATGATAAATGGCAGTGACCTGCCAAAAGCATCAACACAGCCTCGTTCCAAAGCTGAGAGCAAAGAGGATCGCAAAGCCAGAAAACAGGCAATAAAAGAGGAGCGAAAGGTACGCCTGACTGGAAATAAAACCTTGCAAATCTTATGTTGTCTGAATTCTGTCTTAGGAACTTTGTTTCAAACTCACTTGTTATGTCTGAAGGTAATGGGAAAAACTTGCTGGTCTCAAAGGACTAATTATTGCTTCTTTAAAAAAATAATTTACTGAAAGAAAGTTAACATCATAGTTTTGTCTTTCTGGTTTCCAGTATCAAAACTTGGGGTGTGTTACTGTGGCCACTACTGCAGATACAACTTCTGAAGGAACATTAGTTTCCTTGCAGTCTAGAGTAGCAAAGGAAATAGTTATGATGTCTCAGATACTTTTCACTTTGTGTTATCTCAGATACCTGGAAAATCCTGATGGACTGCAGTGAAATCTTAGCTGTCTGATTTAGGAACAGAAATTGCCAGCATATTAGAAACTTCAGCTAACTAAAGATGTTTATCTTGTTGGTACACATATTAATTTAACTGCTAATAATTATTGCCGTAAATAATATTATTGTCCAGATTTCTCTTGTTTTCATGAATTAGAAGAGTTAATTGGAATGGTTTGATTTTGCATGTGAATTCCTATTTTGTAAATCTTTCATTATTCCTATGTACAGGAACGCAGAATGGAGAAGAAAGCCAACAAGCTGGCCTTCAAACAGGAGAAAACAAGACAAGAGAAAGAGTTGCTCAACCTGAAACAAAATGTGCAAGGTCTGAAGCTGTCCTGATGAAACTAAGAAACTTACTGTGGAAACATCCCTAATTTTTCATTTGCATTGAGAAGGGAACTGCTAACTCTCACCTTTCCTAGTCCTGCTCAAAGAGGGTTGCTCAAATCTCCCTGTAACAAGACCCAGTAATTTGTCATTTTTTCTGAAGTGAAATTCTATATAAAATAATGTATTGGTGATATCTGTTCTGTCATGAGTGACATGGCAATTGCTGCAAAGTTTCATTACAGTAGAAATGAATTAAAATTATGAGTATTTTCTTACAAGTTATCAATGAACAGAGTTATATATATATGTTGAATGTATTCAACAAATCAGCAGAATCCTACAGATTTGAACTGATTAGATTCTTCTATTAAATTATTTCATTTTACAAAACAGTATTTTCATTTATGTCTTCTCTCTCTTACACTGATGGTTGAATATAGTTCCTTGCTATGATACAGTTTTGTAAGTCAAGGAGTTTACACCCACTCCTCCTTGGTTCTTTTTTTTGGGTAAGTTATTTATTGTTTTGGTTTATGATGGAAGCCTTTTTGTAAACAAAGGTGTCTGAAAAGCTGTTAGTGTAGCTAGACATCGTTGTTACCTAACCCTGAGTTTTACATTTCCTTGCAAATAAAATCTGTTGTAAGGACTGTTACAGTTGCAGTAGTCAGTGACCCTTAATGTTGCCATTGGAATTGGCTTTTCTGGAAGTACTCAGTCTGAGTAGGATGACAAACAAACAGCAGAATCTTGGATAAGAAGTGTGTGTTGCAGATAGTCACTGTCTTGGTGTTTCTGGAATACTCTTCCTCAGGTCTTGTGCTAAATGTATTTAATTGGAATACAAATTTATTATCCACTACAATTGTTATTAAAACTTCCTGAAGATGAGCTGAGGTTCAAAATCTGTAGGTTTGGCACGAACTTAAATGTTTATACTGTGGACATTAATTATTTTGCTAGTGACCTGTCCATAATGTGAATGAAATGAATAGGATTTGTAGTCAGTCCTGAATCCATCTGTATTCATAAAAAAACCCTTGGCTTTAGGTCTGTATGATATAGACAGAGCAATCTTCTGCCTTTACATGTAAAACTAACCTTTTTACCGAAAGGAACATGTTAACCAACACATGGGTGGAGTGGCTTGACTACTAGTGAATTCAAAGCATCTTCGATACTCCTTCAATAGTTTTGTGAATACTAGATGGAGACAAGCTAACAGGGACTGATGAGGTCTTTTCATGTACAGAAACAATTCAAAATACTTGTTTTTATTGGAAGAAGTCTTTTATATTTTAATTGGTAAAGTAATACGATTCTGGAGAAGGGAATAAAGAGACGTTTGAGTCTGCAAGTCTTGATCACTGCTCTGAAAGCTGAAGTATCAGTACAGTATGCACATCTAGATTAAGAATTGTCTGTTAACAGAATCAATAGAAATAATCTGTAAAATTAAGAAAGGTTTCAGCGTTTTCCTTTAGTTGATACCTTTACTAGTTTTCATGTGTTTGACAAGCTTAAGCAGGGTCTGCCTAGGTCATAATTGCTAATTGTGTAATAACTGATTCTATGGTAACTGGAATACTGACCACCCAGTACTCATGATTCCTGACAACAAAACAGAAGAGGAAATCTGAGAAGCAGTTTTGTTGAGATGAGTCAGATACCAGGAAATAAGTTCAATGGAACAAGTAAGTAATGGACGCTGTTCAGTGCTTTGGGGTGGAATATGGTTTTGTGGTTTTCCAAAAAGGACGATCTTTTACTAAAGCCAGTGCACATGTTCTTTGCTAGATTTCTCATCACTGATTCAGTGGTACTGTGCTAATACCTAAAGTCCTTTAAAATAGAACAAAAGAAAAAAAAAACCAACCTTGAGGGAATGAGAACAGAATAAAGGGGTGGGGGAGGCAGAGGAAGGTACTTGAAAGGAAGAGTGTAGTCCCGACTAAGGACAGACACATCTGTTGCTTGGAAACAAAAGAGGAAAGACATTTAAACAGAGGCAATAGGAAAGGAGTTAAAAAGATTACAGAATTGCTTTGTTCCTCTGCACTTGTAATCAGTGAAACACTGCAGTAACCTTAACTGTGCTTTGCAGCTTGGTAAAATCCCGAGGAAAAGGTAAGAAACAAAAGCAGTCATTCATTGCTTCGAAAGAGAAAGATTTCTTTTGTTTCAGCAAGAGCAGGTAAAGAACACTTACATGAGAAGTCCTTACAGAAGTTAATTTAATGAAGTACCTCTGTAGGTTACAAGTCAAAGGAAAAGGGACTCTTTCCTGAAGTTTTCCTAAAGGCTATTTTTTTGTTTAATGCAAGTCATGTCTCTGCTCTGAAATGAGTATGATCGTCTTTGGAATTAGAAGGGTCTGTAACTACTTTCCATGTAACTTTAACACCTATTTTTTAAAAAAAAAAAAGGTGATTTAAACGCAAATACCAACAAATTTAACATCTACAAAGTAAGCTCATCTTGGAATGCTGCTTAACATATGGAAACATTCCACCTTAATAAGGAAATCTTTGGATGACGCTTTCTACCTAAGCCAAGTGGGTATCACTAGCTCCTGCTGATGTCCAAACCATAAATCTGTGTGGGTGCAGGTCACCTGCCTTGAATTTAGGCAGTGATGAACTTAAGTACTGTTCCACCATCTCATCAGCCAAATGTGATGTCATTGTGAAAGTGCATACCTGAGCAGTCATGTGGAAAACAGAATGCTGCCTGTCATAGCAAAGGAGAGCTTGTGCTTTGTTGGAACAGGATAAATCAAGAGGGAGCTCTGCAGAAAGGAACCCTGGTTTGCAATGGGAGAATTGGATTTGATAATTCTCGGGTCCTTTCCGGTTCAGGATCTTCTGTAATTCTGTGGAGATGTCCCTTTCTGACAACGAAGTACTTGTTCCAGCAAGGGCCCTGTCCCAGTGCCGGCTCTGCCGCAGTCATGACGTCCTGTGCTGTGTAACCGAGACTCTTTCACACTTTGCATTTTGCTCCTTCTGCAACCTGTGGAAAACACTATTTTGTGGTAGAAACCCCTTCTTTTTAATGGGAATTTCAGTGCATTTAGCTGAAATGGGTAATGAGCACTGGGGAAGGAGGAGGTGACTGCTGGTAGAGAAGTGGGTTGAACAAGTTTAAAATAGCAAATTATCTAGTAACAGCTTTCATTAGTGAACTTGATTAGAGAATTTATCATGCACAGACACACTGTGAATTCATCTTCACTCTTGCACTGTCTCAATTTACCTGCTTGTACAAAATCATGTTTACTATACACTGAATTGAAAATTATGTATTTTCTCTTGGTGAGGCATAAATTACTAATTTGCAGCTTCCTTTTTTTGTTCCAGGGTTTTAGGCTGAATTTGTTATTTCAGTCTTGGAAAAAATAGACTAATAAACCATCTGATAAGTAGTCCCTTTGACAGCATAATGTGGGTACCAGGCTCTGTTCCAAAGCCTGCTGAAGTGAATGAAAAGATTCCCCTTGACCTCCCTGATCCCTGGATTACTAACTGAATGCGTGGCTGCACAGTTTGCCTGGCACAACCCAAATGCAGGGTTTTTCTGCAAGGGCCCGGGGTTGCACGTACCCCTCTGCTCCTCCATTTGTGTTACTGATCCTGTGTCTCTGTGGTAGATCAGATCAGCCGTGCAATCGTGCTAAAACCTGATTTGGCAAGGAAAGTACCCAAAGTAAACAAAAAAGCACTGAAATCAGAGTGACTGCAAGAACCAAGACAAAAGTGCAATTACTTTGCATAAGTAGTTCCATGTTTGGTATCTCAAGATTCATGAAGAGCATAATGGTTTTATCTAGCAAAATAGTTGGAAAAGAGAGACCTCTGTGTTATGAGAGAGGTGAGAAGTTTTGTGTGGCTGTGACTAGTGTGACATCCAAGTCCTACCATGACTCTCCATGCCCTGATGATGCAGGACTGGTTTGCTCCTCAGTGAGCAAGGCACAGGTGTCTGCTGCTCTTCCCGTGCTGGAGAGGAGTGTTCCTCTCAACTTCACTTTGCTTTGTCAAAAATGTCTAGAAACAGAAGGTAAGGACCTGAATCATATTAGTAGAAGGTTCAAAAGGAAATGAGGATTTAGAAGTGTGTTTTAGTAGAATGAGGTGTGTTTTAGTCCAGCTGAGCTGTAGCCAAAATGCCTTGCTTAGGCATCTGCTTAATTCCTACGGAGAGTGGACAGCATAGAGAAATTATTAAGAACATCAAGAGAATAACTGAGAATTAGAAAGGGGGAGTAAGCAAAATAAGATAGGAACAGGGTCTTTAATAAGATAGGTTCTTTAATTTACCAGCTGTGGATGGACTCATGCAATTCACAGTGCAGGAGAGAGGCTTTAGTTTGGTCCTTGTTTCCATGGTGTTCCTCACTAAGGGCATTGTCCATCCTGTTGCAGAAAAGTGATAGTGATGCTAAAATCTGAGACACTTCTGAACCTTACAACCTCTTTTATTCTGATGCACGACTCTTCCACAAATCTGGCACTGAGTATCCCATCTACCTAAAATTCCTCTGTGCTTCCAGCTGCAGGTATTATTCCTAGTTTTACTTCTGTGTTGTTAGGTTACGGTGCTGGTAAGCAGCTGCTCCTTTTCAACCTGGGGCTGTGGCACTTTCTGTGGTATTGGTGGGATGGGCAGCACTGCTGTTGTTCAGGGAGAGACCCCATTTTGGAATACATCTGAACTCAGAGAATTAGTAATGAAAATATTGGCCCCTTGAACAGGATCAGACTGTTCTCCCTCTTAACTAAGAAAGAAAGAGAACCAGCTGTGTGTGAGGGGGAGTCCAATGGGACAGCTCCTGTTCACAGACTCAATCTGTTCTTCTCTGCATGTCTCTTTTTGGACTGCTCTCCAGACTGTCCCTGAGCAGAACAAACTGGAAAAGGCTTTTATTTCTTATTTGTGTTGAACCACAGCTGTACTTTTTACTTTTGTTTGACAACTTTTAAAAGTTTTGATGAAGTCCTTCAGGAGTTAAACTGAACCCAAAATAAATACTGCTGCAGCTCCCTGCTCCTGACTATAAGTAATTTTAAAGCCTGCGTAAGAAACCATCACTCCAACCCATAAACAATGGTTTTTCTTTGCATCTCAGCAGATCCAGTGTCCCAAGAAAGCCTTCAACAGGAAGTGCAAGCCCTTCAGCATCTTGAAATGGAGACTATAGGCAAGAGAAATTGCTGCTGTGAAGAAGCAGCCCCTGAAAAAGGTATAGCTAAAACTGAAGTGTGTGTGTCATCTCCATACGAAGTCTTTCATCCAGTAACACTATTGTTTCCTCCAAGGACAAAGCCTGGATGTTGTGGATGAGTCTCACATATGTGCTTGACCGGGTGCCAAATTCTTTCTTCACCCTCCCTGTGCTGCTACTGTTCAGGAATATTTCTCTGTGAAGAAGACAAATGAGTAGATATCATGCCTACCCTAGGCGCATAAGTGTCTTTGCTCTTCAAGTAAACGTTCAAATATATATATATTAAAAGTAATGTGAATCTCTAATAGATTTCTTTTCACCTAAATCTGAAAGAGAGCATGATTCAAGATAGTTGGTGCATGAATGCCCAAGGCTGAACCTGAGACCCGCCCTTACACAGATGAAGTTGCAAAGTTTCATTGCCATTTTA